CATACGTGCTTTACTCTTCGCAGCTACAATAATCACACCCAGCCGCTCACATTCAACAAACATAAAAAAATGGTGGTTTGAAAAAGTCGGTCATATAAAAATTACATCGCAACAATACGAAAAATATTCGGGAACATTCGTTTGAACCAACTCACACAGACCATGACCATAATCTAATAACATTCAAATAAGCCTCTTATATTTTAAAATAGGGTCACTTCGAAAAAGATAGAAGTAAGAAATTTTGTACATAACTTTCTTATGAGCTATTATGACATAAAAAAGATTATTCCACACTTAGCTTTACTAATCTATACCGTTACTTACCTGATCCTGGCTTCAGCCCGAAAGCTTTTTTTTTTTTTCATAAAACGATAATTAATTTGGAAAAAAAGGAAGAAGCTAACTACATATATGAAATGGTGTTTAAGTGATTTCTAAAGTCCTTTTAAATGTAAATTACACACGAACAATAATACTTTAAAAGATATTTTTTAAATATTTTTTTCCATAAAACATGGTTATATTTTACCAATTTGGAGAAAGGGGAGCCCGAAAGCCTCCCTTTCCCACGGTAGATCCGCCTATGTTGATGAAAACCTAAATCATAGGGCGAAATGTCGACAAAAAATAAAATAGAGCTTTCCTACTTCTACAAGTTTATTCCGATAGTGAGGGAAGGCTAATATTGTCGAAATTACCACATCCAATAATATCGTTAACGGTTTAACAGTCTTAAAACGATATAGCAAATGTTTTATTTTAATCCCTGTTTTATTTGAAAACAATTTATAATATAAATAAAATAATCTGAATGAAGTAATACTGGAAAATGTTATTGGGAAGGTATAGTTCATTATCATGACATCATGTTTAAGAATTTACAATTCTTGAAGACGAAAAGAAGTTACATAATCTGTAATAACAGAAAATGTTAAATAAATCAGTCACTAGCAAGAATGTCCAAAACTAACTCATGAGTTCGAATCAATAACAATTAATCAATAAAAGGCTGAATGAACCTGAAGATTCGATGCAGATACCAACAATCAAAATATTGGTATTTTACATATCGATATGGTATTTTCCCGAGTCATAGAAAAGGGCGGGAATTGATGCCAGAGTTAAAAGTCCTCCAGGCACCAGGATTTGAACTCGTAATCAACAGTTTTTCATCAGTTGCTGAGCAACGCATATTTAACACATGTGTTAACGCACTGGACCACCCAGCTCCTGGGATATCGTGAACTCCAAGGGTGCCCACATGTGGGTTCCATAGAACAAATATTTTTGAGGAGGGCAAATTTGGAAAGAGTTTTGAATTTTTGAGGGAGTACGTTTGGAAAGAGTTATGAATTTTCGAATAAGTTTGAAACCAAAGAAAAAGGGAAAACAGAGAACAGATCGCAAATAGTCTAATTGTATATGATCTACAGCTTTTTAAACTCTACTTTTGCTCCCACTGTTTTTAAGAAGAGAAGAGCAATAAAATATCTAGTGTGAGAAGGAGTTGATCGGGGGGGGGGGGCGCGGTAAAATTAATACTAAATTAAATAAGAAGAATTATTTAATTTTTGCCGACGTTTCGACCCACTTTGTAGATCATCATCTTTTAGTTCTGTAACAGACAACTTATTCTTATTTTATATCTACTTATATTCTTTTATTTTCACCATGTTTTGTATCTTTTGTAGCCCTGATGAAGACCTACAAAGTGGGTCGAAACGTCGACAAAAATTAAATAATTCTACTTATTTAATTTAGTATTAATTTGACTGCACCCTCCCCCTCCCCTCACCCCCCGATCAACTCCTCATATTATATCAATGGTCAACCATCTCTACATCATTAAAAATATCTAGTGATTGAGATGGGGGTGGTTCTTGCACCTTGTGGGGGATGGGCACCACTGGTGTATTATATCTGATTAATATAATTGAGATGATTAAATTGAGGCAAATAAAATGAGCATGTAAAATTGTTGGGCACAGTAATGAAAGAATCCTTGAAAACGATTAGTATGTGCTGTGCTAACTGGTAAACGTCCAAAGGGTAGACAAAAGTGGAGGTGGGAAGATTGGTTTAAGGCTGGTCTGTCAGGGCTGGGTTTGGACAGCGGTCTGTGGAGGAAAGTGTGTAGAAGCGATTGGTAATATGGAAATGGAACCTTCGGGTTCGCTAAGCTTTTATTATTATTGTTTCTCTAGCTCTTAATAGTTAGTATTTTATTAATATAATACAGATATTAACCTTTGATGTTGGTAAATGATTTAGTAGACCTTGCCTATTTTAGCCTGGTCTAATTAACAGTTAATCTCTTGGATGAAAAAAACAAAAACCCAATTAGAAAATTTTTATAATACAAATTCTATTTTTGTTTGATTATCCAAATAGTAGTGGAGAATCATCTTTAAAAATAGCAAAAACTGCTTTCTAATAGTCAGTGGTATTTAAGTTATTTGTAGTTTTAGTAGATTTATAACAGGTATTTCTTTAATGCAGAAAATGAAAGTTTACTAAATATCATAATGAAAAGTAACTACTATACTAGTTACCAAACCTTTATTGTTTTCATTTAACAAATATAATGTCTAAAAGTCCAATTATTTATTCATTTTCAAAATTCTTTCACTTAAATATAAAATATTATTGTTATTGTTAATTAAAAGAAAAAAATGTCACAGACAAAAAGTTTATAAAACAAAATAAAAGGAATAATAAGTTTATGTGTTCAAATATTTAATGGGACAAGACAAAGGGTGTATGGAGAATTATATTTTGGCCAACCAAAAGAAACAGTGATTCAGACTTGAAATGCATTCCAACAGGATGCAAAAATAGCCAGCAAGTAACTTTACCAAGGAGATATATTAGGATCAGAATTTTAACTGACTTTAGGTTGTATTTATCTTATTTATGAGACAGAAAAAAGCTAAGCTTTTATTACTTTTTCCATTTAGTGCAACTTGAATTTCAGATTTCTCACATTTTAATCTATTTATTGATTTTTTTTCAGAAATATTAGCTGCATTAATTTTGTAGGGGAGTATAAAGATAAACCCATCCGTTGCCATGCTTAATAATGAATATAAGATTTTTTTATGCGATTTCTAAATTATGTGGACAATTCCAAGATATTGCTCTTATAAGCGTTTTCCTACTGATACCTACCTACTTTCTGCTTGCCAAGTTGATGTTAAAAAAATATTATTTTATCATGTGGTTCCATCCCTTTTGCTCATCATATTTTACTTAAAATGCCTCAGTTGTTTTCATTCTTCTAACTCAAAACATTAAGATTGACTTCACATGAAGAAATTCTATACAGAACTTAATTGATCATAAATTTCATTTATAATAATATAACAAAATAAACTTAATAGAAATTAATCGGTTCTTTTTTAAATGTCTAATATGTCTTTTTTCTAATTAGTTATATAAATGCCTATGCTGTTGATGCATTTAGATACTACATCAATTTTCTTTCTTTTTTTTAAATACCTAATGCTTCTAAAAATATTAATTATATAAATATAAATCAAAATTAAGTTGGTACACGTATGTACCTTGATAGTCATTTTTTTTGTAAGCTAATAAGGCTTCCTAACAGATATCCGTCTGAAATGGACAAATCTGTTGGACCACTCCATTATGAATATTTCACTATATTTACATACCACAAATGCAGGATCTGCTGAAGTAAGGCTTGATGGAATGGGCAAAAATAATATCGATTCTGCTATTGGTACATAAATATAGATATATATATACATTTTTAGTCATTTTAGAAAAGAATAAAATTTCAATCATCCTATCTATAAACAAATTTTTAAAGGATAGCGTACTAGTTTATGAGCAAGAAACAAACTAACTTTTAAATGCACCCATATAATGGGACAATGACCATTTCTCTATGATTAAAATAAAATAATCATAACTTAAAAATATAGCTAAACATTTATTTGTACTTCCTTATCAATTTAGTGATATTTTACTCGGAGATAAAATATCAAAATAGTAAATTTGAATAAGAAAGATTAGAATCTGAAACAGATTATCTTTTGGACATTATGGTGAAAACTATCCACACACTCAGTTGCAATTTATCACAAATATCTATAAATAGGAAACTTTATTTATTTTAAGAAACAATTTTTTTTTTAAATTCAATACATTAATTAAATTGTTTACTGCTCAACTAACATGGATAAAGATAAATTGTGAATTAAAATTCAAGGGAGGCGATGGACACAATTCAATAAGTCACACAAATTAATTGAAAATGTGAGATTAAACAATTAGTCCAATAAAAATATAAAACATCCTTTTTAAATAAATTTGTACATTGGAAAAAGTCTTATGATGCTGTTACATCTCTATTGAACTAATTGTTGAAAGAACTGTAAATAAAGTCATAAAATAACACCAAAAAAAGAAAGTAAAACAACATGCAAAAGAAAGAAAGTGCAAACCAAGATTTAAATAAATATTAAAAGAAAGGTAGGTTAGGACAATTTTTACAGAGATTAATTTAAAAGGATAGCTAAGGGTAACACATAAAAGGAAAATATTTATTTAAACACTATATATAAGAATCAACTTTTGTTAGGTACAAGAAATTAGAAATAAGAGAAGTACCAGATGGTATCAGAAAGAAGTGTTAAATAAGAAGATAATGAAAGAAAGAAAGAGAAGAAAAACTTTTATAATATTTTGAATTGATACATAGAGTTTACAAAGTAAAGAAAATAGTAGAGATAGATAGAAAGTAATACGTACCTGCTAAAACATAGAAGAGTTAAATATTAAAGGAAAGAGGTAACTGATGTGTAAAATTAGCAATCGTTATAAGTTAATGATTATAAGTCTATTTTAATTAAATATAATCTATTTTTTTAATATTCAAAAGACTTTAATTGATAATATGAAATTAATAAATACTTATTTCCCATTAAATTGCTAATTTTACTAAGGATAAAGAAATAACCACCACCAAAGCATTTGTGTGACTAGAGATTTTATTAAATAAATAAAGCTTATTTTGATATACAATCATTAATGACACAATGAAACATTAAAAATCAGGAAAATATTAACATGAATAATAGAGCCAGTAAAAATATCTCAACAGTTCGATAAATTGTGACTGTTCCAATAAAACATTTAATTGTAGTTTTATAAGGCTTTTTGTGAGAAAATTGTAAAAATAAACTCAGCTCATTGCACAACCATCAGCAAGCTTAGAAATATGGCACGGTACCAAAACAATATTATCTTAAAATATAGCATTATTCAATTTATTTATGGGAGGAAAATACAAAGAGATAGGACACAAGACGTAACAGATGCAATGTACTTGTTGGTAACTGTAAGAGCTCAAACTCTTGATGTTTTTAACATAGTAAATAATTTTATATACTAATCATATATAAATAGAAATTTGGTAAACAAAAGAAAAATTAAATGCAGATGGCTCTAGCTGGAGATGTAAGTTCTCTCCTCACCTGTGACAGACAATGTTCCGCTCGTCTCAGCTGTTCCAAAGCTGTTGGTTGCTCTACAGGTGTATCTTCCTGCATCATCTAAAAAATATTTTGCTAGTTATATTTCCATACTCTTACTTCTAAAAGTTATTAAATAATAAAGATAATATACAATAATTGGTAAATGGTTGACTGTCGTGGATAATGAAGAGAAGAATAGTTGGGGTGGTCAGTCAAAAAAAACAGGTAAAAATAAATGATAATATTTATTTTTACATATGCCGACGTTTCGACCTGAAGTTCAGCCCTGATGATGGTCTGAACTTCAGGTCGAAACGTCGGCATATGTAAAAATAAATATTATCATTTATTTTTACCTTCTTTTTTGACTGACCACCCCAACTATTCTTCTCTTCATAATATACAATATTTCATTACCAAAAAAGGTAAAAGTGGACAAAAATTATTAACAAAACAAAGTTAATTGTCTTAATTAACACAATTACAATATTAATTAAAAATATGCAAGAAAAATCTTGAATTTTTTCAGTAAAAAGTTAAAACTATAAATTAAATACCTAATCATCTTCAATTATCATTTAAAAAAATTATTGGAATTGGTATGAAAATTTTGTATAAAAATGGTATATTACTAACGATGATAAGTTCTGGGAATGTCAAGTCGACAAACACCATTCCTATAAGCTGGAGCAGCTCCAGGACCAAGATGAGTAACACCAGCTTTAGACCAGGTTATAGTTGGTTGAGGATTGGCTTCGACAATGCACTCAAACCTGGCACTGCCTCCACTCACCACTGCTATGTCTCTCAATGGCTGAAAAAGTCAAAACAAATATTTATAAAAATAAATAAAATCACAGAGATTATTGTTACGAATCAGGTTAAGAGGGAGACAATCTGAACGATCTTTTCGGTTGAAAATTTTTTGAACAAATAAATTTAGAGATTTCAAAACTTTTAATCATTATATTAAACCACAAGGATTAATTTGCCTCAAAATTAATATTTAATATTAATTAAATCCAACATCTGGCGAAACAATTGGTTATACTGGTGAAAAATGATGGATTATATCTTGATTAATAAAATTAGTGGATGTACAGGATGGTCTTGATAATTCAAACATGTAAAATGCATGGCCTGTTCAGTCCATTAAAGTGTTTGGATTATCAAAGCTTAAATTTAAAATAATGGAAAAATTGCACAAGCTAAAAAAAATATATGTTTTGTCTGTTAAATATAAACATATTGCAAAACAAAAATTCTGAAAATTATCTATATTGTATGTTGAATCTCTGATTTTGTTGATAAATAAAACTCCTGATAGTAACTCCTGGCACTGTTCAAAATAGTATTAAATGCCATTATGATGTTTCTATGACTAATCTATAATACAAAATGAAATGGATATGAAGACGATTTCCAGTTAAATAAAAACTAATATAAAAACCGTATCTCATATCTGTTTTTGAAATTATCAAGTCAACCTTTACTGACATTAAAATCTGCTTTGTCATCCTTCTTTCAGCTAATGCATCCCCGGAATTTGCACACCCTCATGACACCTCTGCAAAAATCAAATATAAAGAGACTGCTGAACTTCTTGATGACAGCCTAGTTTTCCGTTTAGGGACACAACAATACGATTTCTATAATACTGCATGGAGCGATTCCAGTTATATATATTGAGAAACAGAGAGAGAGAGAGAGATCAGGGTGCCGACTCTGCTCTATTTGAGCCATTTCTTGATGATTGCTAACTCTCCCAGATAACTTTGACTATTTTGTCTCTTGTTCAGTTTACAAGAAGTTTCGGATTATCGAGACCGTCCTGTATTTTTTATTCAATTTATAAAACTATTGTTTTGTACAAAGGTTTTTGTATCAACAAACTAAGCAACCTGACAGCATTACTTACAGTAATAAAAACTGGAGGCTTGGAAGGTTGTTGGCAATGGAGCATCTGGTTGACAACAATTGGAGATGAGGCAGCACTGGACCCACCACTATTCCAAGCTGCAGCACCTAATAAGAGGCTTTTATTTACTACATAAAAATATGTTTTAACGATTTCATAAAAATTAAGCTATACTTAATGCATCAATTTTGATAAAAATTTGGATGGCAGATGTTCATGCACAATCATAAAGAATACAAAGAGTTCTAAGAAACAATCAATATCATTAAAACTACGAACCAGTTCAAAATGATAACTATAGTGAATCATAAATAATCTTAATTAACTCTAACAACTAATTATATGTAAATTTATATAAATGCAAAGTTCAAAAAGTTATCCATAATTTCAATTTTTCATTCATTGGTTATTATGAGGATGCATTCATCCAGTACCTAGTTTATGATTGTGAGCACACTGATATGTTTTGCGACTCAAACTCACTGTTGTGTTAGTCTTCTCCATTATTTAGTTTCTCCATCCTATCCAGTAATCCAGAGAAGCCTTCCAGTATTTCTTAAAGGTTTTGAAAACCAGAAGGTGATGACAGTTTTGGAATACTGTTCACCGTTGAGAAGTTAAAAGTCTTTAAAGTTAAGGTGGAGAAAACACATTTTTTCTTGTTATTATTTATAACATACATTATCCTTAGAAATATAATTTAGTTTCCTAGTTACTATTCATAGAAATAAAGCAAAGCTCATATCAGGATTTTACATTGAATTGTGGAATGATAATCAGCCCATTTAGTTAATTTTGTTTCATACTTTCTTAAAAATACTTTTTATTTTTAACAAAAAAGAAAGTATCTAATGTCAAAAGGCAATTACAGTAAGAGACAAAAGTTTATTCTTTCAGCAAAATAGCTGCCATGGTAAATGCATTAAAGAGTGAAAAAGAACTATTTCAAATAATAAAATTAATTGATATGGTCGTTACATGATTTATAAGGAGGTATAATTAAATTCATAGGCAAATGTATAAAAACAATGAGCTCAAAGTATAAAAATTAATTTTAGATGGTCTCCAACACATTAAAATAATACAATAAAACATAATTTAAATAATGTCTAAGTTTTAATGTACAAACAGAACCTCTACATAACATAAAACAATAAAATAGTGACATAGGTATTAGTTACGTTATAGTGCATGTTACATCTAGTAATTATGATACCAAAATCTACCAAACATTTTAGCAATTAGTTATACATCATACAAATATTGGCTTTGTTACTTATTCCTTTTTAAAACTTCAGATTGAATAATTCTAATAATAGTATTTATTACCAATCAATTCATTGACAAGTGATTCTTTTGTTATTAATGAAAGGATGAAAAAAAAAAAGTTGAATGAATACTTTCTCATCTAAGTTATGGGGGATATTAACAAGCAATTATATAGTACCAAAAAAATAAAATGTTAGAAAAATATTTTTAAATTATTGGTTATTTTAAAAAAGTCATAATATATATTTTATACATGTATATAAATATACATAAAATTAAATAATAAAGTTAATAATTGGTGCTAGCAATAACCTGCTCAACAATTGATCAGCATTGAAAACTATGTTTTGGCGTTGATGATCTAACAGATAAGGCTGATGATTATTATTATTTTTATGATTATTATTATTTTATATTTTAAGAAAATATAAAATTTTCAATTTAATTGAAATAGATCCAAAATTAGCACAATATTTTCTCTATATTTTCTAATAATCTAATAAATCTGAAGAGAAATAGCAAACATTAAAGTTGAAAGCTATCTTTTTAATTGACATACTATTTTGTTAAATAAGAGAATAAGTTTTGCCACTATTTTATTAATAAACGATTAATGGAGGCACCCAAAGAGTAAGATTTGAACACATAATCAGTATATATATATAAATTATGTCATGTTATAAACATTAATATTTTAAATTATAAGATAAAATTATTATTTCAACCGGTTCAACATGGTTAATATCATACCATAGGCAAAAGATGATAAAAAAAGTCAAGTTTTCGTAAATCATGTAACAATAACATTAATTTATTTAATGTAGATAATAATCGATTTTGATTGTAGTAAGCTTTAGAAGATATTTATGATTTTCAATATTTATTATATTTATTTTTTAAGCAATTACATATAAAATGACTAAAATAAAACTACATGTTCAAATAAAATTACTTCATTATATGTTGATAGGGAAATTAAAATCTTTTTTTTTTAATCAAATGAGCAAAGTTAAAAAAATTATTGTGATATTATAAGCCGATTCTTATATATAAAAAAAAGTGCATACATATTACATATTACACAGAGCTTCACAATCACAAGTGACAATGGACAGCAGTGATCATAGCAAAGCTTTGACTAACATGCTACAAAAAGTGCTTGAAAATACAATATTGAACCTGGTGAATGCTGTGCTAGGTGGTGGTAAGGGGACAGGTTAGGAGACGCAGTGCTAGGACTTCCAGGAATTCTAACTCGTAATAGGCCTTCAGGTTCCGTCTCACTCTCAGAGTCCCACTTGACCGACTTCTTTTTGGTACTTTCGTGCAGTACAGGAAACGGAACACCATCATCCTGAGCACCAGGAGGCCTTTTCCCAGCAACCCAACCCTTTTCTCCTGGGACCACCATTCCAAACTCATACCCAAAGTCATACTTGAAGTATATCAGTCCTGTGTTTGGATCTATCTCCTTGGTACCTGCAGTTATTTTTCTATTTATTTTTCCTTAAAATGAAATAGTTCTGCACTCGACAGAAAAATTTCATTATATAAGACTGAGTTTTTATTATAAATTAAATTAATAAATATCCACCCATATATAAATTTATATATCATAATATGAAAAATAAAAGATATAGTTTTATTTTATTTTTATAAATAAACAAGTTGTTATAAAATAAATACCTCATGAATAATACCTAGATAAATAAAAACTGTATATGTATCTAGAAATAAAGAATAAACTAAAATGGGTGAGTATATTTAAGTAGTTTGAAAGTGATTTAATTTAAATATCTATTTGAATACAGTGGAGTGCCATTATCCAAAATTAAGGGGACAAGGCCCATTTCGAACTTATACCTTTTTTGGAATAAGTGAAATCTTACATAAAATAAACTAGAATTATATAATTTATGATTATATAAATACTATTATATGTGATAAAATTTATTTTAGTGTTTGTTAAAATGTTTATTGAAAAATCATAGAAGAAAGTTTGACCAAATCATAACCCAAATTAGGAGATAGGTATAAACAGTTTGCATGTGTTTTGGAGCTGTTAAGAAGTTTTTGTGGTTGTGAGGACACAGGTTGTTAACGAATGACCATGACCATGAGATTTTAGAAGATGAGCAGATCAATGAAATTATTTGAAAAAAAAACCAGTCGAAATTTCACTTGAGAATGAAGGTGAAGTTGATGGTGACAGCGAGGAGAGGATATTCTGCTCAGACGTTATCACAGAACGTGATGTAGTGCTAGCTATTTAAAGTAACAATCTTCTGCTAATCCAGTATACACCGCTTTTCTGAGACGATGGTATGATTTGGCTCCAAGGAAGAGGTATTCCTCACTTGGAAAAATAATTTAGCAGATTTCTTTGTGATCACATTAAGCGGACTTACGAATTGCTGAAGATCAAATTATTGGAACTCCAATGTAATGAAATATATAAATGGACAAGGATACAGATAAAGGAAGGAATAGCTATCAGTAGTTGATGAAATTCACTTGTTGTAATAAGTTCAAAGTTTAAATGCTTCGTTAATGTAATAAAATATCAAGCTCAATAAATAAAATCCCACAAAGTTGACTAATTGGATATAGAGAATATTTTTGATATTTAGTTATAGCCTAGTTCACTTTTACAGTTGAATAAAATATCAATATATACTTTTATAAAACCACTAATAGCAAAATACACAAAATATTTATACCATGTTCAGCTACCCGAGATTCTTCCCTATAAACTTCAGGTTCCTTTTGCTCCTTCTGCTTCAAAATAGGGCCCGATTTTCCGTTAAGTTTGACTACATCTGACACAAACTGTTGTGCCTTTGATTTGAATGTGGAACCCATTTCACTTAAATGTTTGCTTGCAATGGCTATGAAAGAAAAGAAAACAAATTGAAAGATATTTTGGAAAACGTTTGTTTAGAATATTTTTAAAGACATACACACGCGAGCACACACATATCAGAGGTACCCAACCAATGAAAAATATCTAAGGCAATTTGTTAAGTTTAAAAATAAATTAATATAGTTTTAATTGAAGAATTAACATCTTTTTATCAACAACTCATTCCCATATTTTAGTTTAAAATAAATCTTACTAGTGGCTGATGGAGGTGCGTAGTCAAATTGAGGAGGTTCTCCTGGCCGCAAGTCTATCATACTCTGAGAAGCTTTCTCTCCAAACCTTCGTCTCATCTCCTCGACCCGTTGTAACCTTTTTGCTTCACTGCTAACATCACTCCATTTCGCATCTCCTTTAGGGACAAACTTTGTAGGTAAACTAGTCTGCCTATCAGTTTGTTTTTGCTGAGTCCTTTCTATACCCCCAACAACTCTTGTCGTCTGTTTAACAGTAACAAACTTTTGAGAAGTACCCGTTGTCTCAGCATATTTCATAGTATTAGAGGTCTCTACACCTATAGGTGGGGCAAAGCCTATCTCTGGAGGAGACCCAGGTTTAAGATCTATGGGCTGAGGTCTAAACAACTGCTCTTGGATGCTGGCAGTTTTACTTGGGTCTGGTGGATGAACAGGTCTAAAACTGACACCTTCGCTAGGTCTCCATGACGTTTTGATCCTTGATTCATAATCACTTTCATAGTCACTTTCTTTATATTCAGTTTTGATAAACTTTGAAGGGCTTGCGGGCAATGGTGCAGTTACTTTAGGAAAAGTTCCAACGATTGGGTTGAAAGGTAATGTTTCTTGTCTTTCAGATTTTTCTGATACTTCCTAAAAAATAACAAACATAATATACTATATTATATGAACTGAATTACTATATATGTTGGGTTTTATTATTCAAAAATTACAAATCAACAGTCCTAAATTAGTTTTAACCAAATAATATGTTTTAGGACTCAAATGAAAGCTTGGAATGCCTAGTTTTTAAAAGATCCACAATTAAAGAATCAATTATAATTTTATAAAACGATTAGTCTCTTTCTTGAAAATAATTTTTTTATCACAACAATTGATATGAAATTAATTGTTTTTTTTTTATTTTAATTCTTACTGAAAAATATTGATTATATTCAAAACTTGATTTTTTATTTAAATTTACCGAATGAGGAGTAAAATTCCAAAACCGACTAAATCAAATTTTTTAAACAGTTTATCTATATTTTAATAAATCTACAAAGTTTCTTACTGCCAGATGCAGTTAAATTTAATTTTTTACTCAATTTTCATTTTTAATAAAATGTAAGAACAGGCTATCAGTTGTGAATTCATAACACTTCAGTGAGCAACTATAAAAAAATTATAAAAACGGATTTGCCTTGTAGTGGAATTTTATGTCTCAAATAGTAATTAAAAATATTGCTGTAATTGAATTTTATGTTTTGTTAATAGTATCATGCTAGAAAAAACTAAAGCAAAGGCAGATAAGTAAGAATCATTTACGGATAGAAACTCAGTGAAATGACACATAATAACAAATCTTTTAATTTATTTCTATGATTAATTCATTTTATGAAAAAGCATAAAATAAGCTTGGAAGCAGTCTGTTTTTCTATCCAAAGTTAATTTTTTTCTAATTAGTATCAATAAGTAGACTTCAATATTTTATTTTCATCAGCTAAAATTGGGTAATCAGACAAGAACAAAAGTAAAACTGGCAATGGTTACATAAATTACTTTAAAATCCAATTTCCTATAGTTATTAAGAACATTATTAGCTAATAAATAAGGAGTCAATTAACATTAATTCAGAACCAAACAGAAATTCTAATAACAAACGAAGCAAAAATATGTTAAAAACCACAATTAAATAAAATCAAATCAAATTTGTTAATATAATAGGAGGTACAGACACGCAAACTCCACAAACCTTCTTTTCGATTTTTTTCTCCTGCTTCATGATAACTTTTTCTTGTTTCGACTGAATAATTTTTTCCGATTTAGTGTGATGAGTTTTTTTAAAAATCCTTCTCGGTTCATCAGTATCTGCCATATAGCCACTATCCTGGGGAGTGCGCTTACCGTCTTTTGTTGTTTGGACAGGCAATGAAGTGGGGAGGCTGACTGGGGCAGGTTGAGCAGAGTGTGGTCTGGGAGGCTGGGTAGTGGCTAGGGGAGGTTTTACTTTCCTATAAGTAGGCTCTTCAGTATCTGAATCCCAGGGGGTCCAACGTGCTTTGATTTTTGTACCTTCTAAATCACTTTCGTAATCACTCTCAAAGTTCTTTTTTAAAAATTTAGATGGCCTAGGCATAGTAGCATACTTATTACACTTAAAGCTTTTAAATGTAACTTCATCAGTTAATGAATTGGATCTCTGATATGACTTTAATGACTCAACTGAACTTTCTCTCTTAGGTGGTGGTATTGTTCTGACTGCTCCTACCAGATGTTTCGAAGGTTCTTTCTCCAAGTCCCTTTCGAGGTCCTGCTCTATCTGTTCAACATACGATTGACGCCTCTCTTTAGGCGGTGGTGTTGCAAATCCAATCTCAGGGGGAGGTCCAGGTTCTAAAATGATATCACTAAAACCGTGAGGCATTGAAACAGATCTTGTAGCCTTAGTCTCTACTTTTGATTCCTTGCTTGGTTTCGGAGATTCTTTCTGTAGAGGCAAATCAGGAGGCCAAAACTTTTTGGCTTCGGATGGTAACAGAGTTTTTTCAGACACAACTTCAGATTGTTGACTAGACTTATACTCACTTGATTTTTTCGATATGATTGTTTCGGATGGAATATTTGTTCTGTGAGTGGTATGAGCTTCTGCGACATAAATAATTTTCTGTTCTGGCAATGGTGGAGGTATTACCTTTTTAGGTTGGAACGCAGATGAAGTAGATTCAACGGCTGTTTCAATATTAGATGTTTGGAAACTACTTTTTTTGGATTCAGAAACCTTATGTATAGATTGGGTTGTATGATAGCTTTCAGAAGTTTCAGAAACTGTTGTAGGAGGCCAAGTGCTTGGTAAATTACTTTCCACATGCTTGTGAGACCACAGTTTATCCATAGCCAACCCTTCAACAGAAGGAGCAATTGGTGACTTGGGTCGGTCTAAAGTGGGCTTATGTTCTAGTTTAGTAGTCCACAGCTTCTCCATTGCAACTCCCTCTGCAGATGGTCTTGGCGAAGAAGGCCTTAAAGGAACATCAGCTGAAGGTCGTAGTAAGGGTCCCTTGATGATTTCATTCTTTTTTTCAAAGCTTTCAAATTTGTTGACTTCATGTGATACTTTCTTTTCTTCAAAAATATTTTTCTTAGTTTCAACTGAAGAAGGCATGGGAAATATTCTGACTGCTCCAGAAGGCACTTCAACTTCAGAAAGTTGCCTATGAGTTTCTTGTAATTTTTTAGCTTTCTCAACCACTTCTTCTTTGGACTTAGAACCCGGTGTCTTTGGAATATAGCCAATTTCAGGTGGAGGCCCTGGTTCAAGATTGAATTGACTCATATTGTCTGAGAAAGCTGTTTGATAAGAAGAAGAACTTTCACTTAAATTTTGAGAAAGAATTGTTAATTCCTGTATCAGCTTAGATTCTTCTTTAATCTTGGGAGTCTCTGGTATTGATGATGATGGCAACTTGATAGATTCAAATGTTTTAGTTATCTTTGGTTCTTGTTTGGGTTCAGGATGCATACGTTTCTTTTCCTCTTCATTCTCTCTGATTATAGACTTGAAAAAATCCAAAGAGCTTTTAGTTGAAATAGATTCAGTTATTAAATCTTCATTTTTGGATTCTTGTATGTGGGGTGGAACATCTCTTATAGATGTATCAGATAATAATGTTGTATCTATGAATGGTTTTGGGGGATCTGTTGGCTTAGGAATTTCAAATGATTTTGAAGGTTCAAAAATTGTAGATGGTGGAGCTAGTTCTAATGTTTTCGAAGGTTCTACCTTCATATAATCCTTTTTAATGTCAAGAGAGGAATCAAAACTTTCTTCAGTTCTTTGTACTTTCATCGAAACATGTTTTTGACTCTGAAAACTTTCTTCAACAACAACTGATTCACCTGGTCGTTTAAATGTTGTTGTATGAGTTTGACCTGGTGTGACAGATTTAAACAAACTTGTACCTCCTCCACTCTAAATAGGATAAACAAAATCAAAAGATTCAATTAGGATATGAATCTCTTTATTCAAAATTCTTAATTGCATAAATAATATTTTAAAAACAGATAAGATATAATATGAAGTAAAGGGGTATATTTTTTATTTTAGTAGATATATTTATATTTTTTATTTTACAATTCATTTTGAAAACACTGTAAAAAGGCATTACTATTTTAATCTATCATTTCATTACCTGTTTAATTTAACGATGCTATTATTAATCTAACTTTAAAAGAAAACAATAACTAAACACCATAAAGGAAATCATAATAGTAATAATAATATATCTTTAAGTGAACAAGCTTTATAATAAAAATGTATATCAAATCAATAAAGCTTTTCACGATGTTGAATTGACTTACAATGAGGTCGGAGAAGATCATTGAGGATGGTGCGGTATCTGTAAGAGGGGGAGGATCAATAACAAGAACATCAGCAATACTCTTGGCTTCGCCTGCACAGTTACTAGCTGTGGCACTGTATTGTCCAGTATGGCTGTGATCAACTGGAATTAAAAATTTTTGTTTTTACTATTTTTGTGACATTTTGTGTTAAATTCATTATTTTTTAAATCGTCAATTAGTTATCCTTTTAAAATACAATTACCTATTGTTTCTTTTCTTTAGCTACTAATTGCAAGATAATACTACCTTGATATATACTATTATTTCACTGATATTTATAAAATATTTTTAACTTTATACCCTAATGAGTTATGATCCATACCTTTATCAACAACGAGAGTATGACAATGACCCTGAGAAATAGTTCTGTACCCAAGGGTTGCTGCGGTGATTTGTTTCCCGTCTTTTGACCAACTGACAGAAGGGTTAGGTGTTCCAGTTACTTCAATTTCCAAAGCTAACCTCTCGCCTATAATAGGAGTCTTGGCTTGCAATCTTCGACCCAAAACTGGAGGAAATGAGCTCTCTATAAAGAAATAAAATTAAATATAAATGTTTATATTTTAAAAAGCCATCAAAAGATAAAGCTAATATTTAATGAATAAAATTGTGATAATAACCAATAGCAACGGGCAACAGAATTTAAAAAATATATGACTTTTCTTTCAGTATTACTTGAATCTTAGTATTTGTTGGTTGATCCCTAAAGGAAATACTCCGTTGAATGCTCAACAGTTTATCAATATTATTTATTATGGTTTACGTTTTAGGAATTAAAATAATCATTTCTTTCATATGCTAACCAAGTTTTCCAGGAACAATTGAGTTTAAGAAGCAGTTACAATTAAATGTAAATATTTTTTTTCTGGTAATTAGGAAAAAGGTTTAAACTTATTCCTGATAGTTAATAATGAACAAAGAAATATTATGGAAATCATTAAATAATTATCGACATACTTTTCACTACCACATCAGCTGAGGATGTAGTCGAGCCAGCAGTATTGGAAGCTGTCAAACTGTATCTCCCTCCATGCTGGGTGGTGGCCGATGATATCCTTAGTGTAGCTTTTCCTAGTGACCAAGAGGTCTCAGCATCTGAAGGTATTGGGCCATTGTTTCTAGTCCAACTGATTTCTGGAGTAGGATGACCTGGAAAATTTTCATCATGATTATTGGTTTAAAAGCATTACTATTTTTATTTAAAAAAAAAAAAGAATTTGCATTTAATTCATCATTCAGATAAAAATTTTAATCATAGTTTCTAGTTAGTTTCTGAACAACTTTTTTTTTTGGTGGGAGAAGTTTTAAATCAGCTTAAACAATCTATTTTTTAAAGACATTAATTTAAATTATTTATATTACTTAAACTGTAAATATTTAAATTATTACCATCAATTAGAGCTTCCAGAAAAACGGGTCTTTCTTGATCAACAATACAACCATTGAGAGGAGTCATGAAGCGTGGAGCAATATCCTTCCTCTTACTAATAATAAGCCCAGATGGAGACTTTTCTACGTTTGATTTTGAGCTGGACTTTTCCAGTCCTAAACTTTTAAAATACGATGACTCTCCTTTAGATTCTACTCCATCTATGTTTCTATATTCTGATGTCTGAAGCACTTCAACCTATTGACAGAATTTAGAAATAGAGAAGAGCATTATGATAAATATTTCCAAGGATATATTCAATTTATAAAATTTTTTTTTTTTTGGTGACTTATAAAATAATATAGAAGAAGATCAAGATATAAAAATAAAAGTATGCAATTATACAAGACAATAATACAAGATTTCAAATATTCTTTAATTTAATTCCAGCAATTTATAGTTGAACAGTAATGTTATACGTTTATATATTGTTTCTCAAAGGATTTTTTTTTTTTATATATATTCATTAATACTTCATAAAATCCAATCATTGACCCATCATTTTAAAGATTATCTTCTCCTTCAATGGTGAAAAATAAACACATCTCTCAAAAAAGTAGGAGAAAATAGAAAAGAACAGAAAACTTTATTTTCCCATATAAATTTAACCAATTTATTGATGATTATACTGATGATAATTTGAAAGGTATTTAGATTCCCTCTACCAGATATGCAGTTGTGTTGACTGTAGTCCCACATTGGCTTTATCGATTAGGTATGTCTCCGAAGAAAAGCAGGCCCTATCTCTGCCATGTCCACTCACATGAAGGTAATGTGATCAAGTATTTCCTTTGACTATTAAGATATCTGGACCAGTTCTTCCATGACAAAAAATTAAGGGCTAGAAATCTTTGGAAAATGGAGAACTTTATTAAAACTGATAAATTTGAACTATATTGATTTTTATTCAGTGTGTACAAAAAAAGCTTCTAATCAGGTCTAAGATCTTTCAGAAGTTTGTATATTTTTAGTATTACAATATCAAATAGTTGCATGGGTAACAGTAAGCCACAATTTTATCTAATGCAGCTATATGCAATAACATTAAAAATAAATTGAGGTCATGTATGAATACAGGAAAATTATTTTTAAAATGTCTTATTTCTTATCTCCCTGCATTCTGGGTAAAAACAGATAAATATTATTTATCATAAAAATAAAATAAAAGTTCTATCAATCATTATGAAAATTAAAATTATATTGACATTAGAGAGTAAAGAAAGGTGCTGTGAAACCATCCATATCAGATTTCACTTTCTAATAGGGTGTTTGGCACAGTTCCAAACTATTAATTTTATCAGAAATTTGATATTTTTTTTCTGTATGACTATAAAATTTATATTTTTTACGTTAAAGCAATGTAAGATTTGTCTGTTACAAAAGAAATTAACATACCGATACTGGAGGTTTATCACCAATTTTCTGAGAAGAAGCTTCAGACTTAGATGTAAAGCTCTTTATTTCAACATGAGGCTTCGGTCCACCTGTTGTACTCGAAAAGCTACTACTGAAGTGACTTGTTTTACTTGATTCAACAACAACAGATTTTTTCATCTCTAAAACTCCTTCGGATGATAGTTTAGCCATGTCGAATATGTTATCTAATAGCTTGCTTCCTTCTATATTACAAACAGAATTATTTTATTCAGTATAATTTTGTACAAAATTAATTCTAATAAATTATCATTATGGGTGAGTCAAAGATATTACAAAAAAAAAAAAAGTATAAACATATATAGACACACTAACTATTGAAAATAACAAGTTATTAAATATATCTTTCAATAATTATCATTATAGTTAGTGCTTTTCATATTTATTTTAAAATATTTGAAGAAACAATATCAAATGATTTTTCAAAATATTAAGACAATGAAAAATAAAATAAAATTTTAATATACATCTTACTCTTGAAAAAGAAATTTAAATATCTATTTCTGAACAATCAGGACCTAGTTAATACTATTTCTAGCCAAACTATGGAATACAGTTCATTAACCTTTTTAATTTATTTTCTAAATGCTTTTTCACTTATAACATGAATTTAATTAACATACATTTACTACTAATTTTAATTTAACATACTGACTTTTAAAGTTGAATTAAAAAAAGTAAAGATAAAAAGCTATTCATCATAATGTCAATTACATAATTTTAAATAATATATTATATGAAAAAAGTACTAAAAACGTTAAGGTAATAACTTGTAAAAATAAAATATGAATTATAACAACCTCAATTTACTCAAAGTGTTTACACTTTGGAAGAATTTATTAAAAATTAGTTTAAAAATTTTATGGAATAATCGAACATTTTCCTGACATTAAACGATATTAAGGGAAATTTTTCAATTAAGCAAAGCATACATCAAAATAAAACAAACAATAAAGTTTTTAATTGTGAAGCAAAGTTTAGAACAATTTCTTTTTAATGCGTTAATTTATCAAAGAAACATATCATTCTATATGTATACATTAAGTGTATAATATTCAGCCAGGGAACTTAAGAATCTTAGAAAATGTTTTTAAGAATATAAAAAAAAATCAAAATTATGCTAAAAAAAATACAAGTACCTCAATAAAAATTCCTAATGATGAATTCTTTAGTCACACAAAGGTTCCAACAACCACTATTTAAGATATGAAAATATTATATAATTATAAAAATAAAATAAATAAATGCTTTTCCCATGAGAAGAGTGACGGGGACCCAGCCCCCGAATTGAAGAAAACTGCTGTGCATTTAATTAGAGACAGCGTTGGAGGGGGAGTGAGGTGCCAATAAAACCTGGCAACATTCCACGCTCAACAATAATACTCCTTTTCAAACATTGCCTATTTCCAATTTATTTGACAATTGACTAATGGCAGATTTTTGCTATAATTAACAATTACAGTGCTATGCAAAGAAAATAAGCTGAAAGATTGCTGACTTAAGAACTGCTGGATAGACAAAAATAGAATTATGAGCACGTAACGAATTCACAAAAATACTCAATTTTAAATATGATTAACTTTAGACGTGAAGAAAGACTGTCATTTGGAATCATGAATATGATTTGGTACTCGATGACCAGATTATTGAATATATTATAATTTATATTATTTCAATTTATTGAATATTACATAAATATTCAATACATAATAAATAGTAGCAGATACAGAAATAACTTGTTTTAGTACATTCATTATTTCTTATACTAAATTGGTAATTTTTTTATTTTGCATAGATTTTTAAAAATAATACATTTTTGCAGTAGGTGAACAATGCATCATGATTTAAATAGTTCCTGGACAGTTTCCTAATTTCTAAGTGTAGTTCACAGTAGCCAGTGCAGTTCTGCAGTCTGTGCAATCACATTGAAATATAAGTTCTTTACTTGTATAAATTTATTCAATTATGTTTCACACCCCACTTTTGAAGCTCACCAAAGATTGTAAAATGTGAATCTTAAAATTTTTTAAACTTTTTTCGATGATTAGACCAGTAAAATCATCCTTTAGAAAACGAAGTATTTTGTGAAAATGGTATTGCATGAAAAACACTAAGTACCATAAAATTTATTTTTCGGTTTCATAAAAATGAAAACAATTGAAATGAGAGCTTCAGTGCATATCTAATACAAATTCTTCTCAGGAACATTTTTAAATAAAGAGGAAAAATTTAACTTGAAAAATAAACATATAAATATATGCCAAACCTTTCTAAAATCTATTGTACACTTACCCATCACTATGTGGGATAAGTGCAACATCTCTTTAAATTCCATACATTTTTTAAATTATCCAGCTTTAAAAATAGTCAATGATTTAAAATCTAATATCTAAATTATAGTAAAACAACTTAAGGTTTCACAACTGATTAGTTTATTAATGTAAGTGTTCTGAACATTTCAAAAATAAAAAAGGTGAAATTGGACTTAAGTTGAAAATTCTGGATTAACTTACCAACGACAGCGAGATTAGCAGCTAATGAAGCTTTACCCAGGTGGTTTTCAGCTGTACATGTTATCTTTCCAGAAAGAGATTTCTTAGCTTCTGGAATAGATAGAACTTCTCTGAACCCACTCGTTGAAATAAGAAAATCTTTACCTGAAACTGGTTCGTCATTGAAGAACCATTTCACCTAAAATTCAAAATTTTTTGATATTATCAAGAAATCAATAGTTCAAATATTTTCGTAAAAAGTACATTAAAGTCTCATTTATTTTTAACAAAACTTTATTTGCTATTGATAAGTAAAATATTAATGAAAACATAATGACCGCTATCTATTTAAACATTATTTCTGAAAACCAATTTATGCTTCAACATATTTTGATAATTTATATACACTACATAAATTGAAATTTTTGAAGAAACAATAGAATGATGATTAATAACAATAATAAAGATGATTTTGTACAAATAATCTCAACAAATATAACTCATTATCATTCTGTTAACATAAATTACAAAGTAAGTACCAAAGACAGGTTTTAGATAAGCCTGATTGGTTGCAATAATAAATAGCATTTTGAAGAAATAATATTCCAAAAGAATAGTTGTCAGTGGTATTTTCATAAATTTATACTTTTCATCAAAACACTTTGTTATACCAATTATTTATCATGTCATTTTAATTTTTCATTCTAATAAACTTATTAGTGATTTATGAAAATAAATTTAAAACATATAATTAAGTTGAGTTTACGAAGGCTTAAGTTGGTTTTCTACAAATAACTGAAGAAATCTATGATACATTAGATAGAACTTACCCAAAATAATGTTGAACAATTCAAGACTACATTTTACTGATTACAGAGTTCTGAACAAACTTTTAAAAATGTCCATACTGACATAAGATACATTGCCAAATGACTAATGCACGATTCATAAGCTTAACTGAGAACTAATATAACCGACTCTTAACTATTTAAAATTTATTTACTGCCTTGTTTTACTAAATATTTAACACATAGAAAGATTTGAATATTTGATATATATAATAAATATATTTTAATGTGGCAATTATTACAAAGATGTTGGGTTATTTAACCCATTTAATATCCATGATTTTCCTTATAGAATACAGGAGTGCCAACTAACCAATAGCTGAAACTAACTAAAATACATAATGAGGTACAAAGATACAAATCATTAGATAAAAAAACTATTTAAAAAAAAAACTATTAGAAGAAATCAATTATAGATACGAAACATTTTAAAATATGGAGCGGATGAATTTATTATAGTTCAGTTCCAGTGCCTAACTAGTTTCAGTTAATATACCTTTAATATTAAAAATCATTATAAAATGTTGTCATACAAATGCTTACATTATTATTAACTAATGATAATCCTTCCTAGCTATAGTCTAAGAGATTCATGAAGAGTCATGGAAGATTTTGGTTATGCTTTGGAATATTTACCTTTGGGGTAGGCTTGCCAGTAACAATACATTCAAACTTAGCAGAGGAACCTTCAGTAACGACCACATCAGAAAATAATTCTTTGAATGCTGGTCTCTCTTCTGGTGTCATATGCTGAGTTTGGCTAGCTTGGGTTTCAAGAGATTCAAGAGTAACTGGAGTTTTTACAATCAGCTGTGAAAAACATTTAGCTTCACCAAGCTGATTGATAGCTTTTGCAGTATACACTCCTCGATCTTCGGGCTTAATATCTTTTATTTTTAAAAGGCAAAGCCCCTCTGCATCTTGAGACATCTGTAATATTTCATTTTAATCAGCTAAAATATAATTGCTACAAAGTAAAAAAAAACACCAATTAATATAAAATCAACAAACTAATGAAGTAAAATCAAATAACTTTTTAGCTGTTAATACTAAATAATGAGTCAATACTATATGAGGTGTGTCTGAATAAAATCCATTAATTTTTATTTAATAATAATTATCTAAAAATTATTTTTAGTTATTAAAATAATTTATGATAAATTAATACATTTCTATTCAATCAGTTTTTCACATTCTTATAAAAAATGATTAATTTTATTTATAAGACAGTATCCCCCCCCCCCTTCTTTGCCTATTCAGCTATATGGATTTTTTTCTGGATCAGGGGAGAGAGTAGGAGAGTCCCCTGGCACCAAGATTTGAACTTGTTATCTTCTGTTTATCAGACTGCTCTATGCAATGTGTTTTCATATTGGCCCACTCACCACGCCCATATTATAAGGTAGCAATAATTTAAGTAAAAAATCCAGAAATATGACAGTAAAAAAAAAAATTATATTGAGATAGTGAAAGAAATTTTAAAAGTTGGAACCAAGAGCTTTATTTAGCCCATATTATCGTATTTAACTATTTTAATGACAACAATCATACATTTTCATTATTACAAGGAAATGACAATTAATGTAGAAAGACTATTTTCAATTTTCAATTTTAAGGAAAAGTTGTAATTATATATATATATATATTTATATATGACCAATCCTATAACTTGGGCAAATAAATTCATCACTTGACAACGTTGGAGATGTAAAGCAGCACAAAGTTATATGCTGTCCAAAATACAGTTAGCGCCCAAGGATGATTATTGTTGACTATAAGAGGTTTTATTTAAGTAATCTTACAGAAATAATCATATTGTAGTTTTTTAGTTTTACTCATTCGATTTGTATTATTTGTTATAATGATGATTATGTAGAACAAATCAACAAATTCAGTAGTAAAACATAACTATGCATTATCTCTTAATTAAAAACAATAAAATTGAATACAAAATATCATACGTGTATCCTATTTGATTGCTGGAGCTCTATGTTGTTTAGTGACCAGGTAACAGTCGGTGTCGGCTTACCATCAACAATGCATTCAAGAGACACTGTTTCACCAACTTTTACTAAGGTATCAGAAAGAAGTTTCTTGAAAACTGGTTTGCCTTCTTCAACTGTTTCAGGGAGTGTTGGCTTTGGTTCAGTTTTCTTATCCACAGCTTTAAAAATATATACTTATTAAAAATATTTTCTAAAGTTTTCTTCTACAACTTATTGAAATATAGAATTGTAGTGAGTAGAATCAGGGGTAAATATTATTAAATCTAGCTTAAACTTTACAGGCTACTTAAAAAGATTCTAATTAATGACTCATTAAAAAAATGGATAATATAAAAAAAGTTCATCACAATAGAAAAAAAAAAAGTATAAATTTTAATTCTACTGAAAGGAAGGAAGGAACATCCAGTAAGCAGAAACTAAAATAAGAATTTCGATACTGTGAATGGTGACACCAAGGGATAATTATAACATTTAAGTATTGAAGGGAAACAATAAAAAAATTAGTTATTATATGATATCATTAGAATTTAGAAGAAGAGACGAGAAAAGAATGAAAATATTGTAATTCCAAATCAGGATAAACAGTCCAGATAAAATCATTATATATTTTAGACAGTGATTAACCAGGTGATGTTATCATGCTTAATATGGTGTAATTTAAAATTAATATTAAACTGAAATTAAAATTAACCTGTTACATTCATTAATATTAAACTGAAATTAAAATTAACCTGTTACATTCAGGGTGCATTGTGATGTTGCTTCACCAGCAGAATTTATAGCAACAACTCTATAAGTTCCAGAGTCTTCAACTAGAGCCTCTTCGATGATCAATGAGCACCTGTCACCATGAAAGACAAGCTGGATGTCTGGTGATTCTTTTACTGGCTGATTGTTGTGATACCAAATCACCTAAAACAGGTTACAGTTCAAAATGGTAAAGTAAATCAAATATGAAAAATAAAAATTTAAATAACAGGTTTGGAATAATAACTATATTTTCATCATAAAATAATTCTATTGAAATGTTATAAATATTAATAACAGACAACCAAAAAATGAATACTGTTGACGTACTTCAGGCTCGGGCTGGGCTACAATCACGCAGTCGAGGCGAACCTTTTTCCCTTCAAAAACTGACTGGTCCTTCAGAGGGATTTGAAGGACAGGCCTAGCTGGTTCCATTTCTTCCGCTAAGTCAGTGTCTGAACTCTCTTCAGGCAACCGTCCTTTTACTGTTAACGTTCCGGTAGATACTGAACTGCCACCTTCAAGCAAGAAAATAAAGAAGAGCTTGTTTAAACAATTCGTCTAAAACTAGCCACATTTTAAAATTTAACTAATCAGCTATTATTGTTTAATTTAAACTATGTATATAATATTAATTCTATCATATTTTTTTATATAATTAATAATCTCAGGTACAATATACATAATTTTTCCTATTTCATGTTATACAGTCTATTCAACCAATCACATAATAGGCAAAAAAAAAATAAAATAAGCTTCCATTGAGATATATCTATCAATTAAGGAGCGAAAAATTGTTTAATAATTAATAATTATAAGCATAATAATGTAAATTGCTTTACATCAAATTATAACAAAGATCAATTTTTTTTAACTTAAAGATATACTGGTTTACGCTCCAACCATTTTTTTTACTTTTTTATTTATTTATTTATTTTTTATTTGAAAAATAATACATTCTGCCGCATTGGAGGGCATTAATATTAGGGCTACATTAAAAATTCACACAATATATACATACAAATGATAACATAGGTAAAAAAAAAAAAAAAAAAAACAAGAGGAAAGAAAAAAATAGAGAAAAGCTAAATGAAATTAAAATATATAAAACACATTCATACCTTCCAACCATTATTAATAAGGGAGAAAGCTAGTTATAAGAAATTTATAATTTATATCTTTAAATATAAGAAATGTATTTAGACTTTTTGAACAAGATGTATTTATTTCCATATAATATTACTATTTTATTTGGTTATTGACACTATCTCACTATATGGATTATTCTCATATGCCAACTAGTATTATATATTTTTCAATTTTAATTTTTCTTATTTAATGAAGCTAATTTATTAAGCATATCAATTTTTAAATAGTAAGATAAATTAACATCTCTTTTGATAGACATGGGGATTGGGTTGATCTAAAGCTACAATCAAACCTATTCTATCTGAGTGGGAAGCTCAAAATTCATTTCGCGGATAAGCCAGAAAATAAATTTTAACCCACCCAGACCGGATTCGAACCAGCATTACTAGACTTGAGAATGTTAAAGGGAACAATGCCTCAACACACTTGGCCTCAAAATCATTTTACTTAACTTCATTAGAATTTCCAATTTAATTATTTTAATTTTGGCCATACCGATTTATTTACTCTTTCCTTTACCAATACTTAATCATCCTTGTATTGTGATTTAATTTTGTCTTAATAGTTATATTTTATCTTTAAATAAGGTACACAAACATCTAAATTACTGAAATATAAATTGCAAAATGTGAATTACCTTTATTTGTTGCCTTTAAGAAATAAACGCCTGCATCTTTTGGGAATGCTTCTGTAATAACTAAGCTAACTTTGGTCCCTTCTTGAATCAGCTGTAAAAACAGAATTTCATTCAATCGTTGTATCAAAATTAATAATATAAAATAAATCCATCAGTCAATAATAAATTATTTACAATGCATAGCTGGTATATGATCGGTAAATGTTGATCTGAGTATTACCCGACATACTAGAGAATCGTTTAATATGAGAGTGAACAGCAGGGTTAATATGCTCTGACTACAATATATTATTTATTTAAATTCACTAAGCTAATATATCAGGGAATGTAGCATAAGAAATATAAATTAGTATAATACTCATTATTTTTTTTAAACATGATAATTTATTACAACATAGAGAGTTAATTATATTTATGTTCTATGAAACCATGGGTTATTATTAAAACAAAGAAAATAAAATTATGTTCCACATTAAAATCAGAAATGCAAAAATATTTTGTTTTAAAACACTCTAAATAAAATGTTAAATCAGTAACAAATTTTAACACTCAAGTTTTAGTTGACACTCTGACACTGAAAAATCTAAATTATGAAAAGCCATTGGAAAATATGTTAGGAATAACAGCAATTTAAAATGAAAAATAATTTTCAACAAAAACAAATGATTGACTTTTAAAGAAATTACAATGAATTATAATGAAATTATGATTATAAAATTATAATGAAAATAGGGTATTATTAAAATATAGAAACATAAAAGCATTGTATTAGCTGAAAATTAGTACTTAGCAACACAGGCGGATCTAGGGGAGAGCTTTCGGGCTGAAGTCCCCTCCCCCCCCAAAATGGTAAAATATAACCATGTTCTACAGAAAAAAATATTAAAAATAGCTCTTAAAGTATTCTTGTTCCTGTAATAACATTTAATAGGACTTCATGAACCACTTAAACACCATTTAATATAGGTAGTTAATTTCTTTCTTTTTTTTTTCAAATTAATTATCGTTATATGTATATGACGAAAAAAAATCTTTCGGGCAGAAGCTCCCCCCAAAATTAAATCTTGAATCTGCTAGTGCTTAGCAATAAACTAAAAATTAGTTACAAAAAAATTAACTTCATTTTCAGGAAAGAGTCGAATGCCTTTCTAAATAAATAGCTTTTAATGTTTCATGATTCATACTAAATTATTTACTTTTTCACACTATATTTGTTCCATAATATTATAAAAATGACATATTATACTAATTATATGTAATCAAATAAAAATCCATGTGTGAAGGGAGTTGTAAAATTAAGCCTTATATTAAAATAAAAAGAACTAATTTAAAAATGATCACTAAAAGTTATTCATAACATAAGCAAATCACTAAAATATATATTTAAAAAAAAAGCAAACATACTTACTCTTTTTTGATCAAGTATGGATTGAAAAAATATTACGATGGAATCTTCTTAACACAACACTAAAAGTACTAGTAAACCAACAAATTAATCATGTTCCCAAGATTAATCATAGCAGCGAGTAATGATTTCATTTTGAAATGTATAAAAACATAAAAGTGCACAAATAATTTAAATATGGAAAGCCTAAAAAGAGTCGGTGGCAGAAAGTTGATCCTGTTTGGTGCGGGGAGGTATAAACTTGGCCTGTTGTAGTGCCCAGCTTGGCCCGGTATCAACACACATCTCTAGAACACTAGGGCAAGGGGCAACCCATCTGATTAGGATCAGCCCAAATATTTTTAACTTTATTTTACCGAAAGTATTTTAAAGGAAAATTTGCTTTAAATATCTAACTCCATTAGGACTTATTTTAAATTATTAGATGAAAATTTTTAATATTTTGTTATTCATGTCCATATTACATAAAAAAAAATACAATTTTTATTAATTATTTGACTAATTTATAAATAATAAACTTTAGAAATTAACATTTCACCAATCCAATGGCGAAAACTACCAGATAATCTTAATCCCTCGAAAATTTGAACAGGCAAAATAACTTTTACTTGAAAGGAATAAATTAATTCAAAATGTAATAACTAATCATTTATCCCAAAGTTGAAATCAGCTTTGGTTAATTAAATATTCAGAATGAATGAACTTTGATAGATATTAAATAATATTATTTTTTAATTTGTTTTATAAATACAAAGGATGGACTTCATGAATATATTCTCTATTTGATGAAAACAAAATAAATAAATAAAATGTAAGCTTAAAAGTTTCTTTTAAAATTGTATTTGTTTATTTATTTTGATTACCATCAATAGGGAAACAACGGTGATTGAAAAAAAAATAACAATGTTGGCACAAAGGCTGTAAAAATTATAAAACAAAATGTTTAGTGAAATTGAGCAGATTCGAATTATTAGCAGATTGCTGACGAAATCTTCAAATAATGTTATCATAAAACAAGGTTTAACATAAATTTAATTTAACACACAGTCCTATTAAACAAGATTATTTTATTTAATACTGCATATATCTTAGAATAATGTTTTTAAGAATTTAAAACTTTCCTTAAAATATCATGTTATGTTACAGTTTTATGAAAGAGGTTATTTAAAAAATGAAAATGACGTGATATTTTTAATGATGCACCAACATAAGAAATGAATTATGGTTAGAGCTAAAATAAATAATCTAAAATTAGCTGAGCCGTAAGGCTGGAGCTTCCAAAGTTACTAGCTTGCCCTACATATTTAATCAAAGAAGCCACGAGGAGAGGGGAGGGATGCAACTGAACCCATCTGTCAGCCTTTTACTTCCCTATGTCAACTGTTTCACATATTTACATCAAACATAAAAATAGTGCCAAGAGATATTAATTCAGCGCAGACATATTTAGACGGAGTGCTTCTTCTTTTTTTTTTTTTTTTTATCATAGGATTAGCATTTACTAATGAAAACAAGAATAATTCCACTTAAACCAAAAATATTACTTATTTCTAAATAACATTAACTATTTTCCTCATAACATTATGCCCCATGAAAATAAAAGGATAATGAAAATTTATATATATATATATATATATATATATATATATATATATATATATATATATATATATATTTATTAAATAAATTGTGAACAAGTCAGATTGGGATATTTTTAATTAAACTGTACTTTCATTAGAGTAATTTTAAAGAAAAAAAAAGGGAATATAAACACATATTCAACATACGTTATGAGGATACATAATTAAACTTCCATTTTATAAAGTTCTGAATAATCCAAATACTTTTTCAACAAATTGCTTAAGAGATTATATGAGATATTTAGGTACAAAGCATACAATTTCTGCACTGAATATAAGTTTTCTTTTTATAAGCCAAGTTCATGACATTGGTAAGAGATTTTGTCCTCTCTATAGATGATGAAATGAAATATTTTAATAATTAAAATTTTTATCTGATACCCGATTAAGATTATATTATGTTATAACTTTACCTGATGAAAAAAGGTTATGATAGACTTAATTTGTTTTCTTTAAGAAATATGAAATTTAAAGAGTGGATTTCGGTTAGTCAAAAGCTTGAAGTAATATTGTTACAAAGAGATAGAAGGAAACTTTACAATTCCTGGCAAATATCCGATCCCCGGGAGTGGGCTAGATTTTTAAACCAGAACGATTGCCAGAGCCAATAAAGCCATCTAAAGTTAGAACTAATTAGATACAAACAATTATAAACTAATATCTACTAATTATTAAGACACCGATCATGTATTATATCATGTATATCACTTGAATTGTAAATACCTATAAATTTGGCTTTTGATTAATTGTAATTACTACAAATAAATTTTATAAATAAGTAAAATAAAGATTAGAATTATACACAATAATATAATTTAATAAAAAGCAACTTGCAATTATTTATTTTTGAAATTTCATATTTATTTAAAAATAAAATAAAATTGTAAGTATGAATGACGACATTAAAATATACACAGAAAATGTAAAACATAAAATGAAAATCTTGAAGACTAATAATCAAGACAATTAAAAATTAAACCAGAATATGAATCTGATTCGTAAATGGTTGAACCATTATTGCAGTCAACAATTAACAGCTGAAGAATTTGTTGATAAATTGAAAAATGAGAATGTAATATTGAGAATGTTACAGTTTGCCTTTATATGGATGTGAAGAACACGGTTTTCAAATTTTATCAAACTGAAGACGATAAAAGAAGCAAACAACCAGGTGAGCAATAACCAATCTATATGAAAAGTTGCCTCAATGGTGAGAGTATAAAAAAATTGTAAACATAATGATTGAAAAATAACATAATAATAAAAACAGATTACTAAATAACATAATGTTCACTGCAGTTTGAAATATGGATATTGAAAAATATTAATATATATTGATGATAAAATGTGACTATTGATAACCAATATTTTTTTCAAAAACAAAATTTAATTTACAAACAAGAAAAAAAACAAAAACAAATCTACTTGGAAAATCGCCGCAATGGTGAGAACATAAAAAAATGTATTATGTTATACACAATGATTGAAAAACATTGGTTTAATTTATTTTTTTTATATCACAGTGATGTATTTTAAATACTAATAGATACACTTTTGATTTATGTATTACTGTGCTGAATATCCAAACTGACATTGATTAGTCTAGATAATCGAAGCTTTAACAGTAAGAAAAAAAGAAAAAGAAGAAGAAAAGTAAATTTTATTCTAGGACTAAGCCCCCTAAGAATAACTACAAGATGTAATTTAATAACAATTGCCTGGCATGAAAAATAATTAGGAATGAATTAAATTACAAAGTTATCTAGATATAAAATTAAAATTAAGAAAAGGCACTGATAGACATATGTAATCATAGATAAATTCAGATGTGCGAGCTCACATATTTGAACACATAAGCAATGTGGATGATATATACTTATCTGTAGGATAATATTAAATGCCACTGACAGGCCTGAAAAACGTGAGCATTATTTTACACATATTCGGAAGATTGATAGTTGAGGAGGTGGATAGATAAATTATTTTTAAATAAGGTCAAGGTTGAGAATTTGCATATAGAGGTTGGTAGGGAATTCCAAAACAAGGTAGCACATATGACAAAGAATTCTTTAAAGGAAACAGTTCTATGAGAAGAAATAAAAAGATTTGAGGGCTGAGGTCTTGTGTTGAAGAAATGGACAGAGGAACAAAGAGTAAATAAATCGAGAAGGTTAGAGGGTTTTTTTTTTTTTCGTTGAAAAGGTTTGAAGAAGGAATACATCTAGGAAGTATTGCAATCGGAAGACGGGATAGAATCACTTCAACTCGGCATACCAACTGGAGACGTGGGATCACCTGGGGACTCCAAAAGTAAATCTAAGGAATTAACTTATTAGTCTCTTTAATCTGATCTCAAACCCACCAGACAGTCCTAATAATGTATCAATTCGGAATTTCTACTAAACAGAAAAATATAATAACACATAAAATAATAATCATACACTTACTTTAATTTCTGGAGTTTCATTGACAATTCTACCATCGTGTGTCCATTCTAGTCGATCAGCATTGGTCACTTCACAATCAAGTCTAACTTTCTGCCCTGCTCTTGCCATTACATTTGTCAGTTCACTTATAAATATGGGAGGAGGCACTATTTTTAATGGGCTTGCAGACTTACCTATGATATTTTTTAATGTTAGAAATGCAACATTAAATATTATAAACTAAATAAAATTATGATTTTACTAATACAGAGAGAAATTAATCAATTTTGTAATCCTATGAGATTTTTAATAAACCTTAACAAAACAAAAGAACTCATTGGGAAACTAAAAATTGTCATACTTACATTTAACAAAGACTCTACAAAGGCTGGTATCAGAACCCACTACATTAGTTGCAATGCATGAATATTCTCCATCATCATTAAGAGTTATTTTTTCCTTTTTCAGTAGAGCTTCCCCATTATTATACGTTATATTATAAACTTGCTCATTGTCAATACATAATTTACCATGATACCACTAAAAAAAGGCATTAAAACAAAAATAAATAATAATTTCAAAAGTAAAATTTAAAAAAAAAAATTATAACAAACTGTAAAAATTATCCAATTTTTCATAATTTTTTAAAATATTATAAGTTGGTAGCTTCTCAAAGTCTAACAAGAATTAATCAATATAGGACTTAAATATTTAAAATATGACATAAGTGTAAATAAAAATGTCATTTGAGGAACAATCATCACAAAAAATATACTTTGTTTCAATAAAAATCATTAAAAAAATATTAATGTAAAATAATATTCATTATACCTGAACAGTAGGGAGAGGCACACCAGATACTAGACATCTTAGATTCATTTCAGAGCCTTCATGGAATGTTTGAGGACTAAGAGGGGTTATGAATACAGGAGGTGATGGCACATCTTCAGGCCAACATTCTGCAATTCAACATTAATTTATTGTTAAATAAACAACTATAAAATTTGAAAATGAATATTAAAAATGATTAATATATAATTGGTTTAAATAATTACCAACTACGGAAAGTATTGCAGTAGTAACAGCAGATCCTGCACTGTTATTAGCAATGCAAGAGAAACGAGCACTGTCTTCAGTAAAAGTTTCTTCAATCCGAAGGGAGCACTCACCATACTCAGAATATGATACTTTGTAGTCTGTATTCTTTTCATCTATCATAACCCCATCTTTCTCCCATCTGACTTGGGGAGCAGGTTTTCCATTAACTCTGTTAAATAATTTTATTTCTGCATGAAAATGTAACTTTTATATGCACAATGTTTAATTATAAATTGAATTTGGTTAAGATCAAACCATAAAAGGAGAAATTTTGAAGAAAAAGATACTAGTTTTTGAACATGTGTGTATATTATGCATAATATCCAATATATAAACTACAATCAAGCCTTACTTGCAATTAAAAACAAAGCTTGACCCCTCATTGACAGTGGCATTAGTCAACTGAACTGAAAAGGATGGAGGAATATCTTCTACCACTTTTACTTTTTTCGGAGGAGGACTAGGAGTCTTTCTAATTTCTTCTATTTTAAAGGCTGGGCTTGGTGTTAAGCCTTCACGTATCTGAAAATAAAAACAAAAACATTACTATTTATCTAATAAATTTTAACATAAAACATTTGTGTTTACTTATTTTTGTTATTAAAGATAAAATTCAAACCTAAAACCTAACCATAATATAATTTAAATAAAATACCAAAACTGAATTAAAAAAATTGATAAAAGTAATAACATAAAAACAAAATTAATACTAAGAGTTAGTGTAATTAAATTTAAAACTTGAATTAAATTTAAAATCATTATTTAAAAAAATAATTGAAACTTACAGTTTCAATTAACGTTGAAGAATATTCTCTTATAACTGTTGTAGACTGGATTGATTCGCCATCAACATCCTAGATAAATTAAAGGAAATAAAGCAGTTAGAAAAAAAATAGGCATTCACAACTTTAAAAAATATCAAATACTTTAGAAGTATGAAAATAAATAATTTAAATTTGTAAAAAACAATTTTTGAATAAAATTGATATAATTATTTTATTAATATTTATTAAAATAAATAATATAATCTGCCAACCATGAACTGTATTATAGGTTGAGGCGATGGAGATTTCAACTTATTAGAAATAGCCTTTAGTTCAGAGCTAACATGGCTGAAGGTGTCAAACATTTCCTTGTTCTCACATTTAACTTGATGAAGGGTATGAGGAATGATATTTCCAGCACCTAAAAAAATGAAAACTCATTTCTAACAAAATGTAACTCCGCTCTATAGTATATGGGGTCTCAATAGATTTATGTAGATTCAAACCTGTTTTTATGCAGTTTTTGCAATATTTTTTCTATGAGGTCTATATAAAAATCATTCGTCAAAATGTAAAATAGAAACAGAAGGTATCGATGAAGTTATAGAGTTTTGAGTGAAAATTGTAATATTCAAATGGTTCAGAAAGGAATGATATTAACATAATAAATCCTGCTGAAGGGCAAGAAGAACTCTATTTTATAACAACAAAAAATAAATAAAGTTTGGAACCAATTCATCGTAAGATAATTTATGTTCAATGAATGAATCATTAGAATGATTGTCTGTGGTTATCTTAAAAAATGTACTCAAATTTATTTGAGGAAAAAGCATGTTCTTGTAGATTATATTGACAAGTGATTCATTTGAAGTAGATATTTCAGATATTTGTATCAAGCCTTTGGGCTTCTTTAACCTCCTTATTTCTATTCACTGCATAATAACAGGATTGGGTAAGTGTATTTTGAATATAAAGTCAATCATCTAATTAAAAAGAGAAAGTCACCATAGAGTTCATCAGCAAGTCTTGAAATTTCAGTTATTCGTTCATTCTGTTTTTGTTCACCAGGTTTAAAGAAATTCTCAAGTTCTTGAAGAAGTTTATTTGCTTCTGCATACGTTTTCACAAATGTTGATCTGTGTACAATTGTAGTGAGAAGATGGTTGCCCTCCTTAAACCAGTTTTCAGCCTACAAATTAATGCGATTAATTGACTAATATATATTTTTATAATTGGTATACATTATGAAAAAACTCAGCCTAGTTCTATATTATAAAGAAAAGTTATTAATAAAATAAGTAGATACTTAAATATATTTGAACATTACCTCCTGAACAAGGGAATACAACTGAATGGTCAGTTGTATTTTTGAACGAGCACGTTTTACTTGCTCTTTGATATCATTCCACCTTTGTTGAATTAATGATAGTTCTCTTTCAATATCATTTCCACCTTCTTTGTTGCATAAGTCTTGCCCACTTCTAAGGAAATCATTTATTTTCACTTCTATCAACTGAAAAATATCATAAATTAAAAATTAAATAATATTTAATGCTATTATTGATATGCTATCATTTATATTAGAATGGATTCATAAGCGAATGGATAACAGTAAATAAGGAATTCCAAAAAATGGTAGCATAAATCATGAAGATGATTTGCTACACGAAATTTAAGTGTGGGTGTTAGACATATCAAAAGATTTGGACATGGTGCTCAGAGATAAAAGCTTTTTAGTTTAATACTCTCATTTCATATTACCATAATATCTCTTATCTATTACTATCACAACCACGGTAAAGTCATTGGCCTTTACATATGAACTTGAAAGATGAATCTAATGAAAAAAGTTCATTAGTCTTTTCAGATTAAGGAAGAAGATAAATGTCTTTGAAGGTGTGAAATCTAAGAAAGTGTTGAGGAATATCAATAGAGTTTTTAGTTGATTAGGGAAATATATTTATTTGAACACAGGTGTTAATGGCTCCATGGTTTTAATTTAATAGAGGTGCAGAAGTGTTTAATATGTAATTGTAATAAAGTAAAATATTATAAGGAAGAGAAGGATTAGAAATGTGATTTGAACTTATCAGCATCACCTTGTTTTCTTCTTCAGTAATTTCATTATACACAATTATTAACTTTATATTAGAAGAGATAAATTACCTGAATAGTTGTTTCAAAAGCTTCAAAATCACGAGAAGCAGACAGAGCTTCATTCAGTGATTCACCATAGCCTCTAGATGTTATTAACTTATTAGAAAGACTTTCAAGACTTCTCTCAATTTCTCTGAGATTTAAATCAAAAGCTGCTCTCTTTTCCATCTGGGATAATTTAGTTTCTTTGGTAGTTAACAATCTCTGCCAAGAGTAACGGAGATTTTCAACACACATCTCCACTGTTCGAACATCGCTTTCTCCTTTTGGACCTTGCTGGATAATAAGTAATAATGATATTTAATTAAAAATAATAATAGAAAATGGAAAATAATTAAAAACAAAATTGTTCTAATCCAATAAATCTTAAAATAATTTTTTACCTGTACTTTTATCCTCTCTAAAAGAAGAGCACACTCTGCATGGCAGAGATCAAACATAGCTGCCACCGCTCTCTTGTCAGCATCCAAACTCCTTTTAAAGCTCTCAACATTTTCAGATAAACTTCTTAATGAAGTTATTTCTTCACGCTGACCTCTTTCTATCTGACTCTCGATCTAAAATTATTGTATTTGGTTACAGGATTCAGTTAACTAATTGTAAAAAAATATTTTAATCTATTCATTAACTTTAACTATGAAGATATTTCTTTTACCTGAGATATATTATTAAAGAAAGTGAGCATTTTTTCCAAAAGTACTTGGTAATCAGCAGAAATAGCATTGAGTCTGGTACTAAGATCTCGCAAACGTTCTGTTATACTGTCATTAGGAGCATGGAAGTCACCTAGATCGATGAAATAAAATTATTTTGACAACAGTTTGAAGAATCCCCCGCCCAAAAAAAATAAATACAACTTAAATAACTATACTTAATATGAAAAAAAGTAATATGTAACAGATTTTCTTAATTTATTGAAATCAGTATGAAAAATGTATTATTTAGGCACACTATCAGTACAATAAGTAAAAAGTAAATAACAAGTATACTTTATTGATGGATAAAATGCAATATAAACTGTCCTACATTTTAATATAAACCAAATGCCATATAATAACTAAAGAAAGCCGATAAATAACAACAGAATTTTAACTCACTTTTTGATAAAAGAGCTTGAGCTGTTTCCTGTCGCAACTGAATCTCAGTCAAAGCCCTCTTAATTTCGGGAAGGACAGCATTCAGTTTTTGTTCTACATGACCAGCTAGTTGTCTTGCTGAGTGTAGCTCAGGATTTAATGCAGGATACAGCTGATCATAAAGTTTTGATACCCAATCTACAGTCTATTAACAGATTCATCACAATTCAATTATGGTTTAATAAGCAATAATAACAATATTAGTTCATCAAGATTTAGTTTTGGGTGAACCTGGGCCTATAGTCTCAGATTTAAAAGTATAGGCAATGGTAAAGAAGCATGAAATTCAAATTTTGTTTTCCTGTTGTATCAATAGTTTTCTTCTTTGCATTCTTAGTTATATTATATTGTCCATGGATATCTTAAGTAGTAATACCCTTTTATAAAAGAAATATACAGCTTATTCATTTATCTATTTTGTGATTTAGAATAAACAATTTTAAAACATACTAGTCAGATTTTCTCTAACTAAAATTCAACAAAACATAATTTATAGAATAAGACAAGACAATAAGAGTTCCAAAAAGAAAATAAGCTTTTTATAAATTTCTAATGGCAAACTTGTTTGTAAAGTTCATTATACCCACACAAATGACAGTTCAACTCAGATCACTGGCAATGGTTCAAAAAAGATTTTACATTCAGATGTCTGTCTAGATTGAGGTCATTAATTCATTTTGTCTTTCATCCCATTTTCTAAATATATGCATAAGAAATGTCAAATATATATTGCATTCTATTACTAAATTACATGAGACACCAAAGAAATCAAAATACCAACATACGCTAAGCTAATGTCATATCAGATAAAATGTCTAAAAAATCTTTAAATTTTGGACCCTTGAGCTTTTCTAAAAATAAATTCTAAGGTCATTTACACATCTGGCTAAAATATAAATAAATATAAACTTCAAAAACTGGAGTCGACACTTAATTGATGACTTGGACCAAAATAAAAGAGTTAATTAATTAAGATTTTCATATTTAATTTTTTTTTTAAACAATAAATGGAGAACATATTGAAGAGAATGATATACCAACTAATGACAATCTCTTTATTCCTCTGTTTTTCATCCCTTTATTGAATTCTTGATTAAAATCTATTTTTACAATTTCTAGACATCAATTATTTTATTATCCTACCTTTTTTTTATTTTTTATAGTAGGTAAATTGTAATAATGACAAATAAATTTATTGATGATAGATGATTTATAAACAAAGGAAATATTTAAAAAAATAAATATGCATATATTATAAAGTTAAAATGTTAATTTCTTTATAGTTAAATTAACAAATATATTAAAAAATCATAATCAAGTCAGATGGACTTATTGAGCCTAATTTTACTTTAACTATGTAATAAAAATAATTCAATATTTAAATTTGGTAAGATTTAAAAAAAAATCTAATTTATAAAATAAGGCTACAGTCATCATTGGTATCACTTTTAATTCATTAGTTAAAACTATGTTTAAGCTACACAGCAAAACCATCTTCAGATATGATCTACAATTTTCCTTATAATGAGTTAAATTACATTATTATTAATTGATATATATCCACATGTACTAACCTTTTTTAAAACTATAAATCCATCTTATTTAATAGCAATAATTAACAAAGAGAAATTTTTAAAAAGTAGGAACATGTGCTAATGCATAAAATTAGTAAAAAAAATAATGCAATTTAACTAATTACAAGTGGCAGGTTTAACTGAAAGAAATAATGAAATAAAAGTGATGGTGACTGTAGCCTAAATTTATAAATTAGTTTATACTTCACCTTAAGCATTCTTATAACAATAATCATATTTATTGATAACTAAAATCAAGCCTTCTAAAAAAATCAAAAAAACTTCATCTGAGCAACCAAACATACAAGAACAATGGTGCAACTATTCTTTGATGACTAAATGTTTATTAAATATTTTGAATAATGTAGCCAACAATTTTGTTGTTAAAATAAAATAAAAGATAAAAAATTATGTATGATAGGTACATTTATTATACGAAAACAAAAATTAGGAAAAAAAAACTAAAGAAAATTATAAAAACCAAGTGAAGTTTCTCAAATACAACATTTTACCATCAAATAATGAATTGGAAAATTAATTTTGTTTAATTTTCATTTTTTTTAAAACATTAGCAGTTAAAAATTGCCAAGATAAAATAAAGTTGAATTACACATGTTCAATATAAATTCTATAAATAAAAAAAAATTACTATAGCAAAAAAAACCATATTGGAAATGACTGATTAAAAATTCTTATTATAGCACTTTGATTACAAACAACAGAATAAAAACAAGTACTTATTTACCTTATGAGTAGCAGCCATGTTGTCATCCCAGAGTGCCCTACTGTTTAGTTCTTCCTCCCGCCTTCCTCCCAGGTACTGCTCCCAGTCGTGTTCAAGATTCCCAAACCTCCTCTCTACTGCTAATCTAATATCCTCCAGGCAGCTCCGAGCTCGCCCTGTGTCTAGTCCCGAATCCTGAAAAATTGGCAATATTCCAGTTCCAGCGACAGTTAGCGTTATTTTTAGCCAATGATGGCACCTGTATCTTCAACTGTTAAGGCTGCTAAAATCAGTATATATTTGCATTTTTTTTTTTTCATTTCAAATTTTAAACACACCTCCACTATTTTATTAATCTTTTAATGTCATTCTCAACAATTATTAATTAGAAAAGGACATTTAATATAATGAAAAGAAATTTTAAAAGTCACCCTAAGAGAAATAAAATTATAAAACACCTGAGAAAAGGTGAAAGATATATCAATTTAGAGTAAAAACATAAACAATATATAACACATTATAAAACAGAGAATAAAGTAATCTATCAAAATAGAGAAAATGTGTGAAATTTATTGTATTATTTGTTTAGTCGACTTTCAAATAAAGTTACGTTGATCTAATTTATGGTTGTTTAAAATATCGAAATATCTAATCACAATCTATAACCAAAGTTAAAATACTCAAAATGTTCTTCTAAGATATAGAAGACTATATATACATCTAAAGATACTATGTTTTTCTTGAAAAATGGAGATAACAGTAAATTCACAAAGTAAAGTATGAAAAAGAAAATTATGAGCTGGTATAATATTAAATGCAGCAAAAAGTAGTTTAACAAAGTAAACAAGTATTTTTTGTTGGTTGAAATTAAATTCAATAACCAAAATGACATTTTTTTTTAATTTAAGAAATGAATTAATTTCTTTTTGAATAAAGGTTTAATCAAAACCAGTTCTGTATAAATAAAACGTTTTATTGTTTTTGAAACACAACAAAACTTCTTAGCTGATTCTAATCATCCCAAAATTTCACGAACTAGTAATCATTTGATATTTTTTGAAATAGAAAACAATTAAGATTCAGCCGATGGAGAAAATAGACTATTTTCTAAACATCTGAACTCATTTAAATTTAGCACAGTAAACAGACTGCTGAAAAGTAACTGAACTAGAGATGAAAGAACTGGTATAATTCAGAATAAAATTATTATTATTTTAACTATATATATTGGAAAAAATGAATTAATATAAATAGCAAATTCTATTTATATATTTCAATTGAAAGGATATTAAATATAAACTAAAGATTCTCAACATATTTTTATCTGATGAGAGTCTATTTATATATATATATATTTTTTTTTTTTTTTATTTTATAGAAATTGGTTTAATGTGTATAACTTGAATTATAAATTTCCTTACAATAGTTTAAAGATAATCATAAACAAATTTGTATACAAAGATATTTGAGTGTATCATATAAAAAAAAATTATATTTATTTACTATACAAAAATTTCAATTTTATAAATGTTTACAACAATCATAAATATTTAGAGGAATAATAAAAAATATATATATATATCATGAAAAGCTATAACTTTAAATACCACTTGGTTAATTGGTACACATAACTTTTTTTTTTTTTTTTTTTTTTTTTTGTTCTTCCCTACCTCGCCTTTTAGGCTATACGGGATTTTCCCGGGCCGGGGGGTGAGGGCGGGGAATTTAAAATCCCCTCCGGCACCGGGACGCGAACTCGTACTTTTTATATCATCTCAAATCTCTGTTATCCGGTTGCCAGGCAACTAGCGGTGCTGTTACACACGCTTTAGCCTATTCGGCCACCCCGCCCCCCTTTGGTACACATAACTGACCTAAATCTATAAACATAAACTTCGGTAAATATATCTTACTGACCAAATCAAGCTTCACAAAATTAATCTAAATGCAATCCTCCCACCTACATCTTGGACCTTTACCAGGCAGCTATGAGCTTATTAACCTTTTCGAGATTCCTTCATTATTTCACAGGTTATTCGACACAATGCTATCACCTAAATTAGTAACAGTTTACATACTTTGGCATTATGTACTATCTTTGCCTCTCCTCCTCTCTTCCTCGTCTTTTTACTGTATGGGTTAAGACAGTAAACTAGTTATGCATGTCACTAGTGCCAAGAAACGCTGTTTTTATTTATATCTCTTAGTAATACATCACACTAATGGAACATGATCCACAGTCTACCACAAATTCCCTCTTAAGCCCCTAATTTTTTAAGCATTTTAATTCTCTGGTTGAACTGTCTTTTTTTTTACCCACATATTTTATACAATTCTTTTTCTTATAAAACCATAAGAGAATGTTCATCACAGAGCTTTCCTTAAGTGGCCACATTTCATACGTATAAAGATCTAAAATTAACGCTGCAAGAAAAATATTACTTCTTCACCATCTGTATTTATCATTGTATCTTTGAATACTGCTAAATCAAGACTGAATATCAGTCAATCAGAAAGATAGAAAAGGCTGCACCTCATTCAAGACTGAAGTAATATCGACACACCTTACCTCTCTACCAACCAAGTAGATGACTAGCATAAAGGCATCACAAATACTCATGTCTCACAAGTGAATAAACTAACTGCTACAAGAATTTTCATAGACAACTTTTTATTTTCACTTACTTATATTTTATATATAAAGACAGCAAAAGGATTGGAATTGTGAAAAATTTTGAATACGAGATTATAAAAACATGTTTTGAGGTCACTTGAGTCAGAATGATGGAGTTTCAAAATTTTGGCTTCTAATATCAGACAGGTATTATTCTTACTAAAATTATGTAAAATAGGTTAAATTCTGAATTTTGAAAGTTTCCTCTAAAGCACCTTATTTTTATTTATCTGAAATAATTAACAGTTTTATACTGCAAATAGTAATACGAGATGGTTACATTTAAACTATAAAAGGATTTGATAATTAATTAAAGGAGAAATAATGGCTGGTAAGGTGGGACAGAGAACAAACAAAGGCTCATACGGTGCTTGAGCTTGGCTAAGGGGTTACAATAGCCCCTAAATGTACCATATTCGCTCGGATAGAATATGCCCACCTTTCATAAAGATTAAATATGACAATATGATAAAAAATAAATAAAAATAAAGATACCACAATAAAATCAAAATAAATGTGTATCGGACTCCGATTCGCTATATTATGAACCAGTGATTCTTCAACTTCTTTTGCCACAGTACCCTCGTTAGGCTAAAAAAATGCTTAGTACTCTTGTCGAAATAAAAAAGTAACAATCATAGAAGAAAATGAACTGAGACGAAAAACATATAAATTTAATAAATTAGATGAAAAGCATATGGTAACACATTTGTAAATGAATATGTTTCATTTTATATATTTTTTACTTTTGATTCCCTATGTAATAAATTATATTAAATACCTACTTCGATTAAAAGTAAGTTGGTATGTGAAAGTTGTGTTATGCACCTACTACATCAAATTTTGACAAAAATATGCAGTTCACATTCTTCTTCTTAATTAGCATTACAACCTGTAAAGTGTCTTGGCTTCTTCCAGCAGCAACCGCCATGCGTCCCTATTGTGGGCCGCTGCTATCCAGTTTTAGACCTTCAAATATTTTCTATTGCCATCGGCTACACGATCTGCCCACCACAGCTTCGGTCTTCCAACTCTATGACGACTATACAAGAGTTCAATCATACTTCTATTGGTAGACATTCTGGTTAGACCTCCAGCCCATCTGAGTCTTCCAAGCTTCATGACACAATAGATGTCCAACTTTTGATGTATGTCATACAGCTCCCAAATGTTTCTCCTCCTCTATTCATTTTTCTCATACACACCACCATAAATTGAGCATAATACTTTCCATTCCAATATGAGAAGGAGTTGGTCTTCAGCCCTGGTTGTTGTCCATGCCTCTGAGCCATAACAAATTACAGAACGGATGAGAGTTCTGTAAATGATAACTTTTTTTCTTTTTCTTATCAATTTACTTGAGAGATGCTTTCAAATCACATTAAACTTTTTAAAACTGATAGGAATTAAAGCAGAAACCAATTATTTTATTTCATTTAGTAGTGCTACAATCCACGAGGAGTCAGGGCCTCCTGTAATGATTTCTGCCAGTCTTGATCCCAGGATGGAGCGGGCGTCCGATGTCACACCATCCTGCCAGCGCTCTCTTGGGCGTCCAACTCTTCTTTTGGCTTCGATCTTCCCATCCAAGATCTTTCGAGTTGGCCCCTCCAGGCCAACACGGGCCCACCTGAGCTGTCCCACCTTTATAAAGCGGATGATGTTCCTATCCTTGTACATGGTCATTATTATTAGTTTGTTTGCCTTCTCCAGGTGGGCCCCTCTGGATCATAGATTGGTCCCAAAATCCTCCTAAGCACCTTCCTTTCAAAACGAAACATTTCTTCCTCCAATGCTCTGGTCAGCGTCCACGCCTCAGCACCATAGATAAGAACAGGCCTAATTAGGGTTTTGTACAATCGCAGCATAGTTGTTTGGGAGATTATTCTGTTTTTCAGCTGCAGGTAATCTAAGTAACATCTGTTGGCTGCCTTCATAATATTCTGCATAGGCACTTCAGCCCTCACTGCAATGTCACTTGTAACTAGAGATCCCTGGTATATAAATTCGTTCACAGTATCGAATGAGTATCTTTGAACTTGGATGAGTTCGGGTATTCTTCTTGTAGCATTAGTATTCATGTATTTCTTGTACTGATTAACTTGCAGTCAAACTGTGCAGCTGCTGTTTCAAGGCTTAAGAAGGCTTCGCTCATGGCCGTAAAAGTCCTACTTATGATGTAGATATCATCAGCGTATCCAAGGAGCTGCACCGTGCGATTGAAAATCGTTCCACCAACCTGAATTTCTAACTGCCTAACGGCTCCTTCTAGGGCAAAATTAGACAATAGGCAGGCCAGCCCATCTGCCTGCCTTAAGCCCTTACAAGTGGTCAAAGTATCCGATAAATCGCCCTCCACTCGCACAAAGATCTGGACGGACTCCATTGTTCAACAAATCAAGCATACCGATCCTCTAGGGACACCTATTTTCAACATCATCCTGAACCATTCCTCTCTGAACAGCAGAAACCAAAGGTATTAAGAATAATTTCAAAGAAATTTCTAAAGTTTAGATGATGTTGATTAATAATATATAATATTAATATGTTCTCTCAGCCAATAAACAAAAATAATTATCAATATTGTGTAATTTTACCACAGGAGAGAACAAAGATAGAAAAATGTTCTCTGTTTTTAAGATTGATTTTTTATTACCATTTTAAATATTGAAGTAATAATGGCATTATACTAATCTTGTTCAATTAGAAGATTGCAATAATTCTATTCTAAAAACTTAATTAAAATATAAATACTTTCATAGAATCTTGATTAAAGTTGGTTGCAGTGTTATTCATCTGTGCCCTCAGCTGTTTAGCAGATACCCAAAGTTGTTCACCTTTAGATTCATTCTCTCTGAACTTGATGATGTCTAAAAATTTTATAATTATGAGTCATTTAATTTTATGAAATCAATCTTAATTTTAATTATATAAATTAACATTTTTACAATACAGATAACCTACCATTTATTGCATCAAGTTGCGTATTTAGATTCTGGGCCAGTGACAAGGCCCTGACATAGGAGCTTACTAAGTTTACTCTTGTCTCAAGAGTTGTAGACAACGAGCACCATCTTGATTCTAGTTCAAGACAAGTGTCAGCTATTTCTGTCTGTTTCCTTCCACCCACTTCACGAGCACTTGAGATTAATGCTTTGATTTCTAGTGTTTTAGTCTTAACAGATAAAATAAAGCATTAGTTCATATGTTACAGAAAGATATGTGTAAAATGTTTTATTCATAAACAAATTATGGCTTCAATAAAATTATTACCTGTAAATCATTTAAGTTTCTCTTATAAACTTGCAAAAATTCCCTGGCAGACACTAGATCGTCACCCATGTTGGTCACACCAGAAAGGTAACCTTCCAAACTAGTCAGAAAAGCATTCAGCTAAAACAATTAAGGAATCATAACATGTAAAAAAAATTGTAATCAAGCTATTAATTCAAAAACATATTCCAAAATTATTTAAATATCAACTTTTAAAACCCCTCGGAAATCATTAGTTTAAAGAATAAAAATTTTAATTAAAAAAGTTACAGGTTTATCAAGAACACTTTTGCAAACATTTTAATTCAATTCAAAACATTTTAACAAACCAGACCCCTTTATAAAAATTTAACAAAGAATATTCAATTTTTTTTTGTAATGGAAAATTTATGTAGACAAATCAAGATATATAATGTTTGAACAGATGCTATAAGAAGTTGAGTGTAAGCAATAACACTACTTACGAGATTATATTTTTCGATAAAAACTTTATAAGCTGCGTTCGCTCGTATATTTTCTTCTTTATGTGCAGTGCATTGGACACTCAGATTGATTTTCTTGTTTTCAATTTCTTCAACGATCCGCTTAACACCCTGGAAAGTAATTGCTTATAACAAAGAGAAATAAAAAATAACAGATATCTTATTAAAATATTAAATTTAAATTGATTGCAATTATAAGAGAAAAAACACAGATACACTATTAACAACAATCATAAAATAAGATAACTCAAATATTTTGTAGTTTATATCCTGTATTTCTCAAATGTAAAAATGGATAAATAATTAGCAAAGATACCTCAGCAGTTGGAGTCTCTTCAAGGATTTTATAGCCCTCTTGAAGAACTTTACCAGTAAGTTCCTCCAAGGAGTTAGAAACTTCTTCATGAAGAATTCTCAATTGGTCGAGATCTAGACCAAGCTCAGCAGTTGACAGTTGAACTTCAAGTTGGTCCAGCTTTATCAATGTCTACAGAATAAATATTGACATTAATATCTTGATTATTTTGTCTAACATGTAAATTAAAACAGAAATATGAATCTTGTTATAATTTAAACAAAGATGAAGAATAAAAAAAATTAAAGTAACAATAAAAGATTAAAAAGTTTTTCACTCCTCATCTCATAAATATCATAGACAACAGTTATTGTCCATTCAATTTTTTTTAGAATGGTGTAAATGCTATGCCGTCTTGGCTTGTGGAGACATGGAGTCAATTCTGAGGACTTATAAATAATCACTCAGGATTCTTTATAAATTGGATAGGTCAGGAATAGGGTGGCTAGTTTCTATTATGAGGACTATGAAGAGTATCAACTAGAATAAAATAAAGCACTACCTTATAGAAAATAAAAAATATTGAATTAGAGAGAAAATAAGAAAGGGTGAAACATCCTATGCATCTTTAAGCCAACCACTATTATAATTGAAAGCTATTAATTCTTTAAAAATCATATATTAATTTTAAGTGCAAAATAGCTTTCTCATTATTAATTTTTAAAAATCAATTATTAATCCTTCTTAAAGTTATCACAAAAAACAAAACAAAGACATTATAGGAGAATAATAGAATGATTTCAAATAACGTGTGATGCCTTCTAATTGCAAAGCAGTCCAGAAACAAATTTCTAAGTAATAGGTAAGATAGTCTCAAAAAGAGCTAAGTCTGTCCAGTTTCATACATAGATTATTGTAATTGAAAGAAACAAGTTTTAAAAGATATTCAGACTCAGTTTCAACTGATGTATTGTACTGGTAATGAAACCATTTAAAACATTTTAAAAGGAAAGTTTTCTTACATCTATTCACTTAATTTACAAATTTATTACACTTAAATTAGAACAGTGAAGTACACAAATCTTTAAATATATTTTTATGATTCGGTATTGTTACAAAACAACTGTGTCTTAGGAATGCCCAGAATAATAACATTAAAGGGGGCGAAAAATTTAGCTAATTAATTAATTTAAAAATTTATCTACCCACAACTCTAAGACAACAATACATTAATACAGATTGACCCAAAAGAAAAAATGGATAAAAATAAATATAGAGAAGTATAATTAAATGCATGAAAAAAATACTATCAAGTATGAACAGAGCTTTATAATTAATCTCAAATTAAGTGGATTAAAATGATATATAATAAACAATTTATAACTGGGATTAACATGAATTACATGAAATCTATCACATCAGCAGTACACTCTAAAACTTTAAATTAAATAAATTAGAACAGTGATTGATTGCGTCCAAACATTGGCTAAAAGTAAAACAATTTTTCACTGTTTAAGTTTTTTTATGACCACCATCCCGGATCACTTCCTTCCTCAAATCATTTGTAATTTGTAATTATAAAAGCAGATTCATTACCAGTAATATTTGATTTTATAAAATTTGAAATAGTGACATAAGAATTAGACTAATTTATAACTATTACATTGCAACACCCAACATTCATTCTAAAGTGTAAAAGGAATGCAATTACCTGCTCAGCTGAAGTAAAGAAAGCAATAGCTCTCTGAAGATTCTCTTCTCTTTTACCAATATTAGAAACATAACAGGCTGATTGTTCCAGAATTACATATGCTTGTGTGACAGCCTCTGGTCCAGCAAAGTGACCACGAAGAGAGAATTCTTCACTGAAACGTACTATCTTCAAAGCCTGCTCTTGCATTTCCTGAAAATAAAAAAAAAAAAATAAAAATAAAAAATAGAACAAAAACAGATAATCATTTTAGGAATAGCATCTGCTGAAAAAAGTCATATTTTTAATTTATGTTTATCTCTTTACTCTATTTTTTTTTTAAATGTTTCCTCTTGAACTTCAATAATAGTATTTAAAATTGTTTAAAAGGTCTAATTTTGCAGTTTGCAACCCTATGTACTTGAAATATAATTGAATAAGAATTAACACTGGATGACCAATTAGATTTAGAACACTAAATTTCTTGGTTTGATCATTTCCTCAGCATGAAAGAAGTAAATATATGAGAAGATATAATAAGAACTTGACTTGAAGCAATGCATGAGGAGAGAGGCATTCAATGGAAATTGAGATGAAAGAAAAGATAGTCTGGCATCAAACACAACTTTTGGGTTAAGCTCAATGGCGAGAGTAATATAGCTATTGCCTCGCCTCTATGTGTTATGCTTGTAAAACTCTAAAGCAATCATCATGTCACTCACAGAAATTATTGATGTTTAACAAAAAGTTCAGTGTAGCATACAAATGTACTAATACAAACAAAAATAGTTGAATTCTGGATAAAAAAAAGTCCTGTTTGTGATTAAGGGAAGGAAGTATCTTTCTTCAGGTAAGTCTTGGGACTGATCAGTAGTTAATCATTGGGAAAAGCTGAGATAATGGATTTCTGAAGAAGCTATTCAATAGAAAATCCAAATATAACTGACTATAATGTATGCTGTTGGGTTTTTGTTATTGAGACTTTTGTAACAACAAAACAAGAAACATTTCTTTTAAAACAAATTTTGTAATAAAATGTATTATTTCTCAATAATTATATTTAAAAAACATTAATATTTTTTTAAATAGATATTTAAATGTGGCATAAAGTATAATTTTAGCATTTATTCATTAAATATAAAAACTTATTTAACTATAATGAAAACTGATATACAATATAAGTGACAGAAACTGAAAAAATAAAAGTAATAGTTAAGAACTTTTAGGAACCTTATATTTTGACTGGATATTATGGTCATTTCAAACAAGAAATAAAAACCTTTTACATTTTTTAAGTTAAAGTTATAGATTTTCAACCTCACCTTTGCTTCTGGAAGTAATTTACAATGTTCATGAAGTAAAAGACTAGCAGAGGCAGAGGTATCTCCAAGCTGGTCACAAGTATTAACAAGAGCAGTTGATCTTTCATCTAGGTTTCGTTGCAATTTCATTAGCTCTGATGTTATCAAGGCAAGTTCTAAGCATTCTTCTAGTTCAGTCACTGCCTTCGATGTTTTGTCTTGTAATTTTATTCTTCTGTCATGAAGTTGTTCCATCCACCCTTCAACTTGTGCAACAGCTGAAAATATGAATACATTTTTAATGAAGAGAAGAATAGTTGGGGTGATCAGTCAAAAAAGAAGGCAAAAATAAATGATAATATTTATTTTTATTGTAAAAATAAAAATAAATATTATAATTTATTTTTGCCTTCTTTCTTGACTGATCACCCCAACTATTTTTCTCTTCATTGTCCACGACAGTCAATCATTTATCAATTATGAATACATTTTTAGGTTACTTTATTAAATACAAAATGAAAATAAAGCATTCTATCATAAAACATTTGGAAATTTTGATTGCAAAGTTTTGAGGATGATATTCTATACTTTGATACAATGAAAATCACACAATTAAGTTTCACAAATGTTGTTTATCAATTACAAAATAAAAGTTTATAATAAGATGCTTATCATAATATTTTTTATGTATAAATAAAAATTAATGATAAAGGACAGGTGCAAAAAGATTCCATGCTATACATCCTAGCATGAGATCTGTTTTTGCCTGGTATTTTATTTTAAAATTGAGGCACTTAGCTGTAAAACTTGGTAAATGACAAACTAAAAATGTTTGAGAAATCTTAATTACTTTTTTGAGGATACTTTACTTAAACAAAAATAATATAAAATTTCACGAGTGTTTTGTGTATTGAAAATTAATACATTTTTTGAGCTACTTCTCATAGTTTTATAAATAAATACAAATTATAGTTAGAAGCAGGTACTGGTAGATGGCATTGAGAACATTAGTGTGACTAACCACATCTGATGGCATATCCTATATTAGTTATCGCCCAACAGTAGGAGATTCAGAATTTAATTTTTTTAATTTATTTTTTTTTAGAGCTATAATTAATTATTTTGGAGGAAAAAGAAACAATCCATATGATAATAAATAAATTTTTAAAAACTGTTTACAGGAATAATAATACTTGTAGAGATAAATTTTTATATTTTTTCTTGACAGGTTAGTAGCTGAAATAGATACGTTATAATTTAAAAAGAGTACATATTTATTGTCTAGGTATCTAATTCTGAACACTCACAAAAACAAATATGGACAAATAAAAAAAAAATCCATCTTGAGTGGAAACGGTGCTTCAACCAAATATTATCATTGTTTCAGCAATCATTAGACTATTTAAATTAAAGTAGACCCACGATATTTTTTCTTTCAATGTCTAAACTCTAAGTGATGTAATAGAAAAAAAATCACTCAGGAATATGGGTCAGTAGTTCTGAATAAGTATTTTATTAATACTAAATGCTGTTTATAGTTCTCAGAAACTTTTTCATGACAATACTTTGAATTTATTATTCCAAGAAACTTATTTCAGGGAAATACTTTAAAATCCATCTATATTTGCTTTCTAATGTTAATACATCACCTAGAGCTGAAGACAGTTTGATATGGTCAGGTCTCGAATCAAGCGTTGCTGAATCGCGAAGTGATTTAAGAGCTCCTAGAAGTTCTGCACCAGCAGCTAATGTTCTTCCAAGCCTAGTCAGGGCTTCCCTTTCACATGATTTTATTTCATTAATACGGGATCTCATTTCTTCTATATCTACAGGCAATTCTGACTCAGCTAGGACTTCAGTGCAAGTACAACAGTCATCAAATTCTTCAGCCCATCTGTAAAAGAAAAAAAGGAAAACAAAATTATATTTAGTTTAAGATGAAGGGACATATATTCATAAAATTCTTGAAAATGAAAAAAAAAGCTTCACCAAATAAATTTCAAAAAAGTCAATATACATAATTGTTAAAATACACCTCTGATACAAAAAATTGACCCAATTGGATATTCATGGTCTTGTAAGGGTCTATTTATGATTGCTTTATATAACCTCTAGAGAGATATACAGATAAATAATAGCACAAATTAATAATTATATTTATATAATTATATAATAATTAGTCATCCTTCATGCCAACATACCTATGGTAATTTACGTTCAAATCTAATATCCGACTTCTAGATTGCAGATGACTGTTGACATTTTCCCAGGCAGATGTTATGGATCTTGACATGGCAGAATAGACCCTGGGACTTGTTCCCTGACGGGAAATGACTGCCTCGGCCTGGTCAACCAATTCTTCAACTGGGCTCTTCTTTGACTAAAAGTAAAATATGGATTGTTATTATTGTTATTTCACAATGCTAGTATTTTTGTTTTTGATATTTTCCATCTGCTGTTGGTATCAAGAAAAATAAAATAAATTGTTTGGTTTAGCAATATGTGACTATTATTTAAGTTGGATGATTTTGTTTCCCATAGTTTGTGAAATGTCTAAACGCACCTTAAGAGATATCATAGATGTTTAATAGATAATTAAATATTATGGAAGCCAATTTAAGTAATGGAAGTATTTTAAGTAAGGCACAATATGATAGTCATCATTCTCGATATATTTCGTCGGTACAACTGTAAATGTCGAATGTGAAAAAATACTTTTTTCATACTCATCATATTAAAGCTGTTCTTAAGAGAAACAATGCAACATGGCTGAATGGAGAATTAGTGGGATACAAGTACCAAGATTATTTTGAGTTCATGGGGGATTAATGATCAAGGCCCTAAAAAAAATGATAGTTAAAAAAGTTTTAATAAAAGAAATATACCTATATTGAAGAGCAGATTGGACCTTAGACATTTGGCGCCTCTGGACAACGGGCGTCATTTCTTCCAAAAATTTAAATTTATTTCTTAACCCGTTTTGTATTAAACAATATTTGAACTTTATTTCATTCAGTATTTCTCTAATTCAGTTACTTTATTAAAGTTAATTTCAAAATTAGTACTTTATCAATTAAAAAATTACTTAGTAATATTTGTTTATCTCTAACAAGTGGCAGGCGCCCCCCTCCAGGTGGGCGTCCTCGGGAAATTGGTCTGGCAATGTTGAACATTAAAAGAAAAATAAATATACCAATGCGTATTTTTTTCTAGATTAGTGGGGTTAAATTCGATGTCCACAGTCCAAAATAACGATAATAATACTTACAAAATTGCAAATATAAATTTTGAGTTATTACTAATTACAATGTACTGTTAGGTATTTTTGAATAATTCCGAAAATAAAAATCTTATAATAATTCGAAAAGGAAAAAAATGCTATAATTATATTTTAACGTGCCAATAAAAAAGGCTGAGTTATTAGTTTGAAATAACTATCAATATGATATATTTTAGTTTAAAAAATTAAAGTTTTTAATCTGATGAAATAACGCTGACATACAGATATTGATGTTGAACGTGCCTTTCATTCCAAGGAAATGCCTAATTCAATAACTAGTTAACTTAGTTTAGTTGTGAGCCACGTTTATTTGATTATTTCAATAACTAGAATGGTGACAATATCCACTAGCAGATCCAGGATTTAATTTTTGGGGGGGAGGCTTCAGCCCGAAACTTTTTTTTTTCATAAAAATAACGATAATTACTTTGGAAAAACAGAAAGAAACTAACTATCTATATGAAATGGTGTTTAAGTTATTCCCTAAGTACTTTTAAATGTAATTACACGAACAATAATACTTTAAGAGGTATTTTTTTACTTTTTTTCCCATAAACCATGGTTGTATTTTTCCATTTTGGGGGGAGGCTTCAGCCCGAAAGCCCCTCCCCCGTAGATCCACCCGTGACAATATCTGAAACAATCGTCAATTTCGAATTAGTATTAAGTAGTGTTCGATTTATTAACGTTTATTACTATGATTTAGGTTCTTCGGAAACTACAAAATGATCAAAGCAATAGCATCTAATGGAAAGATTATTCATTAAAGCTTTCTTCACACAGAATGCGATATGTCTCGTATGTAAGATTACTGAAGGACACTAGCGGATCCAGGATTTTATTTTGGAGGAGGGCTTTAGCCCGAAAGCTTTTTTTTCATAAAAATAACGATAATTACTTTGGAAAAAAAGAAAGAAACTAACTACCTATATGAAATGGTGTTTAAGTGATTCTTAAAGTGTAATCACACGAACAATAATACTTTAAGAGATGATTTTTAAATATTTTTTTCCATAGAACATGGTTATATTTTACCATCTTGGAGGGGGAGGGGAGCCTCAGCTCCTAAGCTCCCCCTCCCCCTCACCCCCGTAGATCCGCCCGTGCTGTACGAGTACTGTCGGTGACGAGCTGTACTGGCGATTTCTATCTATCGCATTCATATACTGAGTTCGATAATCCACAGCGATACCGAACAAGGGATATCGTACCGCCAGGACATATCGCGTTCTGTGGGTAGAAGCTTTAGGGATCACGAGATTTAGATCCGAAATAGAAATTTTAAAACGGGCTTATAAAGAACAAATGTAATATATTCGTACATAGTTGATAAATGTAAATAGTCCTATCATTCAGTAAGGGACTATATATATTGTATTATTGTTATGTTTTGTTTATGTATACACTTATTACCTCTATCCACATCACTAACAGATCCATCTCAGCGCGAAAACCTTATTTTATGTCAATATATATAACGACAATTACTTTGGAAGAAAAATAAAGAAACCATATGAAATGGTGTATTAGTGATACTTGAAGTCCTATTAAATGTAATTAAACGAGTAATAATACCTTTGGAGATCATTTTTTTCGTAAGACAGGGTTATATTTGACCATTTTGGGGGAGAGGAAAGGGGAGCTTCAGCTGCAAAGCTCCCTCTCCCATAGATCCACACATCACTCTCATGTGATTGTCTTGAATATTCAATCTGGATTTCAATACCGAACTTGCTAGCGCATGTTGTTATGACATTAATATTTACATTTATTACAAAATCGGAAATAAAGTAAAAATACAAATGTGTGGTTCCCAATATTTGAACTAGGTATTTGTATTTTTTATGGTATAAAATCGCAAATAAATATAATTCAAACAATTTTTGTATAGAATAAAGATGTGCAAACGGTATATTTATATTTCACATAATTTTGGAAACTATTGACGGTAAATATGCAAATTAATTATTAATAAATTTTCTCATCAGTTCACTAATTATGATATCTGGATTTCTTTTTTTAATTACTGTTTTGAAAATTGTATTTTATGTTTAAAATTTAGTCATCAAAGGTTGGTACTCATTTTATTTATTTCTCTTCAAACAGCATTAGCACATTTTTTTTTTATTTGAAAATAATCTAAAATTTAACTTATAGGTCATACTAATACTGTTTTAATCTTTGGCTCTAGATAACCAATAAAATTAGATTTAATTAAATTGTAGTTGCGTTATTTTTAAAAATTGGAGCCAATTCCAATTGTAGGCCACCATCTTTTTTATATAGCTTCTGAAGCCCACTGCTCTGCTCCTTATTAAGTTCAGTTTTATATTTAATCTAAAAGATATTGTTTAATTTAAATACTATAATCTCAATGGTAAGAAACGGTTTCTATTTATTTAATGAGTCTATGTGATATAAGATGTTTTATTTTGTGCCAATACAATGACTGTTTTTTAAAAATTTTTTTTTTATTGTTGAAATGAAGTACTGAAATGAGATTTTAGTGGGCACATGATTATATTACATTTATATTTATATGGACTGGTGTGGAAAAAGAACTTTAAACATTTATTTAAAGTGATTTAAAGTACTTAGTCCTCAAATTTTAGGTTTTACACTTCTGATAATTTATTCCACAGGAATTATTAGTAAAAAATAATTAAAAGATGGTGGCTTGGTTCTCAATATTTTTAAATATATGTCTGTATATTTCATTTATTTTGTGTTATATTCTATTTTTGTCTTTTATTTGTTACATCTGTTTCATATTGGAAAATTGTAGATGTTTACTTACTTGTAAAGATTTTATTCATAATTAATTTCAATTTTTTTAAAGCCGAAAGCTATTAGATAAGTCTTACCTCAGTTGCAGTATACTTACAGATGAATAAATTTGTATGTATATAAATTGGATAATCAATAGAGTTCCTGTCTTTTCAATCATTCATTTGAATTTCAAATTATATTTTCTAATTATCATTATAGATCCCTTCTCATTATATACATTTGTTATTTAAGTTAATAACTACCATAATGCAATATATCCTCAAATTGATCATAGAAAATATGTTTTAGTAATTTATTCATTATATAATATAATGATATATTATATAATTTATATAAATATTAATTATTTAACACTTCTAAAAATGTTGATGAAAAGAAGTTTTCAATGATTTCAACTTCATTATAAAGTATTCTCTAGATGAGGAAATTGGTAGTAATAAATTATGCCTGCCATTGAAGCCAAGTTTTTTTTTTTTTTTTTTTCACACCGGATTCCTTACCACTAATTTTATAGCTTTTTTCTATTAATTATTTGTAGAAAATTTGTTTTTTTAAAGAATGATTTTGTATTAAGAATTGGCTAGTGATGATTGAAGGTTTAACATTTTAACCAACTCTTTAATAATGTGTAATTCTTCATTTTATTAGTTTCCTTGAAATGAGGCTGATTGACATAATTTTTTAACAAAATATTAATTTGATTTTTACTTGATAAGTGCAGTGCAGTGGTATTCATTTTATTCTATAAATATGTGTGGTTCATGTGTGTTATCTAGGGTATTGTTTTGTAATAAAAGTGTAGTTTATGTTCAAGTGAGTTTTGTTTAGTTACCGCCGTGATTTATCATTTCTTCAGTTTCGAAAGCTGCTGCGTTTACAGATCTTTGTAGATAGTGAATTTCAAGAAAGAAGCCAGTGATATCTGAGAGCAATAAATTGTAAGTTAGAAGTCATATTTATAAAAAAATATAACAATCCTTGAAAGTTATACTGATGACACCAAACTTTTGATTTTATATTCTGAATAAAAAAAGTTTTCTTCATTAAATTGGGCATTGAATTCTCTATTTACAATTAGTTTCACTTTACTTGACAGATTTGGAAGATAAATGTCCAGTTTGAGGAGGAAAACAGTTTTTGTTTTATAAAATAAATTTTCACAATGGAAAAATAAGAGCATGGGGTCATTTCATTCTTAAATCTTACAGATAAAAAGGTATTTATGAATTTCAGGATGTGAACATAAATCCCAGTTTTTTTAATGCATTAATGTTTCTTAAGAAAAATACAGCTGGGAGCATAAATAGGAA